GGCATTCTGGACCAGCCAGGAGTTCCGGACTGCTCCATCGAGGCAGCCATGGTGAAGGTAGTCCCAATGTAGCCAGGAGCAAGGGGCAGACAGATCCCCGCTGTGGGCTTTGCAACCTATTCCTCTTCTCCTTAGTTTATAGGTCAGCTCGTCCTCCATTTGGGCAACTGACCAGAGTCCTTGGCTGTTGGACCTTTCCTTTGTTTTTTCTGTGTGGAACCAAGATTCTCCCTGGTTGGAATATAAAACAGCCCAATTGACCATTCTTGCTGTGAGGCTGTTACCTTGAGGAAGGGAGAGCACCCTTTAGGCCTCTCAGAATTCAGGGCAAGGTGGGCACACAAAGGCTCTGGTTGGTTTCCTTCCCTCAGTTTGATAGATGAGGAAACTGAGGCCTACAGCAGTAGGTGGTTTGCCCCAGAACCACACCTGGACCGAAACCAGTGCTTCTGGGCTGGGCTCAGGGCTTCTCTACTGCGCTGCTTGCAAGGCTCCTGCTTCAGCTTCGGTAAGAGCTTTGCAGGGCATGCACATGGTCAGCATAAGGGACAGAACCTCGGATGAGATCCCACAGCCCAGAAATGCATGGGTGTGGGTGCCATCCTGGGTGGCTAAGGCACACCAGGAAGCTCTTGGAGCTTGGTCTTCAGAGGTTGCCAGGACCTGGGTGGAGACTGATGTATCACTCAGGTGTACCCAGAACTCACCTCCAGTCCTATGTTCTGAAAGCAGGTGCATCTGCCTTCCCTCTGTGTCTTACAGTGACTCGGGTTGACAGTGTTGAGGAAGGTGGAGTGCTTGACCTGGGCCCTTTGCTAAGAACACGGCCAGGCCTGAGGTCTGGGTGTGACTCAGAATCCCATCTACTTTCCTCCTGCCATTGTCTGCTGGGCCCATGAGGAGCAGATGTCCTGCCCCAGACCTGTAGATGATGGAGCACAGGTCACTGGCTTTGGGGGCATCTGATTGCAGCAGACAGGGTTCTTTTAGTTCCTGCGGTGGGCTCGAAGGGTAATGGTGACCCAGAGCCCTATAGATCATGCTTGGATAATGAGAAAGGTTCCAGTTCTAACAACTCTGTTCTCCTTCAGAACTGACTGCCGAGTATGCCTGCACAAGAAAGCAGTTCAACAGGAAACTGAGTGAATTCGGGTTAATCCAGGTACCGAAGGCTGTGATCTCACCATGTGGATGTGAAACATGTGCTTGCTGTTCTCTCTGTCCTGGTGCCTCTTGTGCAGTGACTTAAGACCAGAGGGTGTTTGGTTGGCATAGGCCCCTTTTATTTTAGTGTATGTGTTGCCAAGGCGAGCACTAGGCCCCTTTTATTAAGGCTGGATTTGGTTCTCTTGGGCAATGAGGCTCCTGACTTCATTAGCTTCTTTTCTGGTCATCAGACTTGGGTCTCAGCTCACAATTGTGGTTTTCTGAACACCCCAGGAAAAGTTTGCTCTCATGGCTCAGAAGGCTTACGTGATGGAAAGCATGGCCTACCTCACCGCAGGGATGCTGGACCAGCCAGGAGTTCCGGACTGCTCCATCGAGGCAGCCATGGTGAAGGTAGTCCCAATGTAGCCAGGAGCAAGGGGCAGACAGATCCCCGCTGTGGGCTTTGCAACCTATTCCTCTTCTCCTTAGTTTATAGGTCAGCTCGTCCTCCATCCAGGGTATGCAGTTCTGCAGGGACAGGCAGGGCCCCTAGCAGGCACCTGGGAGAAGCGGCAAAGAATATTGTCCAGCTGGGCCTCAGTTTGTAGCACAGCTAACTGTGTCTGCTGGGGTGAATGATGAGTTTAGACTGGCTGACTGGTGGTCTAGAACCACAAGAGAAAAAACAGATTATAAAACTTCACATCAGTGTAATTTAGCAGCTGGGCTGTCCTGGGAAAAGTCCTTTCTTCTGAGAGGATGGCTTTCTTACTTTTGGGACCACAGCTGCCTTTTATACAGTGTTTGATGAGGTAGATAGCAGTTTCCTGTTGCATTTGTTTAGGGGCTGTTATGTCTAGCTATGCTGAAAAAGATGGCAACCTCCTTTCACCCCCGAAAGTGTTGGGGTCCTCTGGAAATGAGCTCTTGAGAGGTCTGGCACCCTGGAGAAGTGAGCCTTCTGGGGATGGCAGGATGGGCAGACAGGGTAGAAAGTGAGTCTTTAGGTGCAGCTTATGTGCTGTGTGTGATGGCTCCAGCTCGGTCACATCCTTCTGTCCCTCCAGCAATTCCACACATGGTGACTGATGGCTGTGTCCTGACCCTCTTCAGATGCTTAGCCTAGACCAGTGATGGTGAACCTATGGCAGCAGTGCTACACCACAGTGGGCTATCATTGAAAGCTCTAAAAGGTTCACCATCACTGTCCTAGAGCCAACCCTGACAAGTGTCCACTCCAGGACACTCCCAGAATGGACAGGGAGAGAGAAGTCCTAGTCATGCAGAGTTGGGAGTCATTGTTGGCTGGGGCTGGGCAAGAGTGAGTTCACCTCCTGGAGAAAGGGGAATTCTGGGTGGGTTTTAAAAGCACAGGGTTGACCCAGCTGAGGAGCGCAGATGTGTGAGAGGCTGTGATGGGGCAGCAGCCTCAGGAAAGGTCAGTGTTGTCAGGAAGGCAAAGGCCTTACCTATAGCCAATCTTCCTGGGGTCAGGCTGACCCCAAAGCTCAGGTTCTTCCCACATAGCCTCCCCCTGCTTCCCGGCCAGCTCCTCCCCAAGGGGTAGGTCCTCTCCTCCTCTTGGAAGGGATTGGGCCCCAGCACCTGTGCTCACCTCACTGTGTGTCTTGGCAGGTATTCAGCTCCGAGGGTGCCTGGCAGTGTGTGAGCGAGGCGCTGCAGATCCTGGGGGGCTCGGGCTACATGACAGACTACCCCTACGAGCGCATGCTGCGTGACGCCCGCATCCTCCTCATCTTCGAGGTGAGTGGTCGGCTGCAGACCCCCCTTGGATGTCACCACCCTACCTGTGTGTTCTTGGCGTGGGGGTGCTATGGAGGGCCCAGCAGGCCTCCCCACGCAGGCCACACACTCATGGCTCACTGCCTTGCGGCTGGGAGAGGCCAAGCAGTCACTTAGTTGTGTTCCCAGGGCCCTGTCCACTGTGTCTGCTGCCTCTGGTCACCACTGTGGATCTTGGCCATGCTGTTTCTGCGTGAACAGGGTGGGACAAACATCCTGTGGGAGACCTTGGTTCCAGTTGCAGCTCCACCTGTTTTCATTTCATCTGGGTCTTGGTTTCCTTCCCAGTAAACTGAGGCAGACCAGCAGGGTCAACTCTGAGGGCCGTCTTATCCTTATACCTCTCTCTCCTTCTCTAACTGCTGCCCTCCAAGTAGTCACAGCCTAAAGGGCCAGAGGTGTGTGCCAGGTGGGAGGGGTGGGGGCACACTCACCCTGGGGACACCTTTGGGTTGCTGTGGTATGGTTACTGTGTGTCTGGGAGGATACAGCCATCTGCTGAAGCTTGAGTGCTTGGCTCTTAGGACTTCAGCCAGGGCTAGGGATGGGCAGAGTGGGCAGAAGGGCAGGGAAGTGGAAGGTGCCAGGCCCAGATGGGACCTGATGGTGAGCTCCAGGTGACTGGAGAGGGAGCGAGCAGGGCTTGGGAATAGCATCAGTTTGCTAGTGGGCTGGGTCCCAGGGTGTAGTGATGGAGTCAGGGTCCCCAGGGAGGATGAGGAACACAGGGAAGGAGCTGGACTATGGGAGACCTGGACTGACAAAGAGGAACTTTGGATACCATAGGAAGTTTCTGAGCAGAAATGATTCGTTTGTATTCTGGGATATTCTATTAGGGACTACTGAGACCAGAGGCCAGGGTACTTCCTCTGCAGGGAAGGCAGACTAGAAGGTGGCTGGGCTGGGTATGCAGGAGGCATGAATGAGCCTTAGGAAGGGGTCCAGCCCACACCACTGGCCTGGATATGAGAGGCCCCTTAGACTGGGTTGAGTTGTGGCTCCTGGGCTGTGCACCCCCCGCCGGGAAGGCCACACCCACACATGCCAGCGTGCCTGTCTTACTCAGAGCAGTCAGGTGCCAGCCTGAGAGCAGGAGGGGAGGCTATGAGGACCTGCGCGGGGCTGTACCTAGGAGACCTGAGCTCCTGTGCCACTGGGTGGGTGCTCAGCAGTGGCTATGGGATCCCTTGAGGCTGTGGTTCTCTGGGTGCAGGACCTCGGAGGCAGCTCAGCTGGGGGCTGTTGTGCTGGGGCCTTTACTCCCTACTTCCCCTCCAGTGGGTGCCTTTCTGTCCACGCCTTAGATGCACCCCCCCCACCCTCCAGGCCATGGGTCACATTAGGCGGGGAAGTGGTTCAAGTGAGCCTCTGGGTATCAGCCCCTGGCACTCGAGCTCCGGGCTGCTCCTGCTACTCAGTGCTGTAAGGCAGACTAGAAGGTGGCTGGGCTGGGTATGCAGGAGGCATGAATGAGCCTTAGGAAGGGGTCCAGCCCACACCACTGGCCTGGATATGAGAGGCCCCTTAGACTGGGTTGAGTTGTGGCTCCTGGGCTGTGCACCCCCCGCCGGGAAGGCCACACCCACACATGCCAGCGTGCCTGTCTTACTCAGAGCAGTCAGGTGCCAGCCTGAGAGCAGGAGGGGAGGCTATGAGGACCTGCGCGGGGCTGTACCTAGGAGACCTGAGCTCCTGTGCCACTGGGTGGGTGCTCAGCAGTGGATATGGGATCCCTTGAGGCTGTGGTTCTCTGGGTGCAGGACCTCGGAGGCAGCTCAGCTGGGGGCTGTTGTGCTGGGGCCTTTACTCCCTACTCCCCCTCCAGTGGGTGCCTTTCTGTCCACGCCTTAGATGCACCCCCCACCCTCCAGGCCATGGGTCACATTAGGCGGGGAAGTGGTTCAAGTGAGCCTCTGGATATCAGCCCCTGGCACTCGAGCTCCGGGCTGCTCCTGCTACTCAGTGCTATGCAGCTTCCCAGAGGAATCTGGTTCCAGGCAGAGCCAGCGGATATGCATCTCACATATCTCTGCCCTGGGCATTGCAGCCTCGCCACCAGGGAAAGTTGGTATTCATTTTAAGGAGTTGTCAGGGCTTAAAGAAAAAAGTGACCTCTGTCAAGCTAGCTTGCTGGGGTGGTAATCAGCCCGTGGGAGGCCATGCCCTCTGGTCAGCTCCAATCTAACCCCAACCCTGGTCACAGCCGCACTCTCTGCTGAAGTGGCAATGAGGGAGCGGGGATTCCACCTTCCTGGCATGCATAGCACTGCCAGGGATGCCCACTCACTGGGGCAGCTAGTGACTTCTACACTGCTGGCCACAGGGAACCAATGAGATCCTCAGGCTGTTCATTGCTCTGACGGGCCTGCAGCACGCCGGCCGCATCCTGTCCTCAAAGATGAAGTAGGTACCCTTCCTGGTCTGGTCCTTGGCCCACCTGCCTGCCTGCCCAGGGAGGGGATGAAAGCGGACAGCAGTGGGTGGGTATGCAGCCGTGCAGAGCTCCCTTAGGCCGGCAGCATGGGGTAGTGACTGCAGGGGCTAGAGCTCGGCCCTCACCGGAGGGTGACAGTAGAAGCCAGCTGCTTAGGGAGGCCCTGCCTGCCCTACTTGACCTCCTCTTTCCCCTCCCCTGGCAGCCAGTCTCCAACCCTGTCTGGTGTTTCAGAAACACCAGAAGGAGGGGTGTCCCTCCAACAGGTGGCCAGCCTCTGAGACCAGATTCTCTTCTCTGCCCTTCCTCCTCACCTGTTCCCCCTGCCCTTGTCCCAGGGCAGAGCCATCAGATCCCCGACTGAGCGCGAGTACAGGTTGCTGATAGCATTTGTAGCATTCTTAGTTGGGAGGGGAACTTCTGGGAAGCTGGCCACATGCATGTGCTCCTTGAGATGAGCAGCTGCTTCTGGCAGGCCATCACCCTGCACTCACTCGCCCCACATGCCCAGCCGAGAAGGAGTATAGAGCTCCAGCGGCCCTGGGAGCAGTGGCTGCCTGCGGTGGGTCCTAGAGCCATGCATCTTGGACTTTCTGCAGTAAGCTTAAACAGGGCAATGTGGGCATAGCCATGGAGATCGTTGGCCAGAAGCTTCGGGACTCTCTGGGCCAAACCGTGGATATGGGACTGACAGGCCAACTTGGACTGGTGCACCCTAGTCTTGAGGTGAGTAGATCTCCTCATTCTGGGGGGCTGTGCCAGGGAAAGGGGGTACCTGCATGATGCTGCCCCATCGGGCAGGAGCAGTTGGGGAGGTTTGCTGGTACTTCTACCACATCTGTGCTGTGGCACCCTGGGCTAGGCACTGGCAAATGGTAATATGGCGCTGAGCACAGTCCTGTCTTTCGGCCAAGTAGGACAGTGCCACCAAGCTTGAGCAGAACGTGTATTACTTTGGCCGAACTGTTGAGTCATTGCTGCGCCGCTTTGGAACGGTAAGAGGGCTCTGCCAGACCTGGCAGCCACAAAGACCACTGTGTGCCCACCTTTGGGACCAGGCCTAGAGGAAGCTTGGTCACTGGGTGTGGGGGGATCCCTGCTGGCTGAGTTTTCCAGTGTCCTCCTGGACACCTTGTGGGTGGGGGCTTGAGTCCAGGGGCTGGTTTTAAGGCTCATCTGCAGGGCTCTTGAGCACACTGAGCACCAGCCTGTGTCAGCCAAGGTTCTACGACCTCACTTTACCTTGAGCCTGGCCTGAAGGGAGAACACGAGGCCATGGGGCGGCTGGGGAGGCGTCACTGGCCTAGGTCCCTGAGAGCCAGGCAGCAGGTCTCCACTCTGAGCTGTGTCCCCAGAGCATCGCGGATGAGCAGCTGGTGCTGAAGCGGGTGGCCAACATCCTCATCAACATGTACGGCATGACAGCTGTGCTGTCACGGGCCAGCCGCTCCATCCGTACTGGGCTCCGGGACCATGACCAAGAGGTGAGCCTACCCAGCCCACTCAGGAAACAGGCTCTGGGACAGAGTGACTCAGGGTCAGGACTGGAATTAGAACCCAACACTGACTTCTGAGCCAGGCTTTTGTCCTCCTGCACTTTAATGAAATCAGTGGCTGGAGAAGTGGGGAGTTAAGTGGTGTGGCCCTGCCGAGGTGTCCCAGAACAGGCGGTGGCGTCCCATGCTTTGGGAGGGTCCTGCTAGCTGGGAGACAGGGCCAGTGCCTTTGGCCTCCCACCTAGAAGAGAAGGGGTGACAGCAGTCCATTAACCCTGTGGCCCTTCACCCTGGCCCTGCTGGGGGAGGTGGAGGAGGTGGACACAGTCACTGCACCTGCTGTTTATATGCAGTGTCCCACAGTGTCCCACAGTGGTCATGGACATGGGACTATGACATCCGCCTTTCAGAGGAGAAACTACCTCAGATGCTGAGTAACTTGCTCTTGGGGACAGAACAAGTTTGGCTTAGAGAAGGGTCTTTTGACCCCAGCCACACTACCTAGTCCTGCGGGCTATAGGCTGGGTTCCTGGGAGACTCCAGGACGCCCTCAGCCATCCTGTCTGACCTTGGTTTTGGCAGATTCTGTTGGCCAACATGTTCTGTGTGGAAGCTCATTTTCAGAATCTCTTCAGCCTGTCTCAGCTGGAAAAGAGTAAGTGGGGGACGTGTGGGAGGGAAGAGTGGGTCAGGTCCAGTCTCCTGTGGGAGAGCTGTGTGCTCCCCAAGCTGCTGCCCATCCAGGGAAGAGGGCAGACATCATACCCAAGTCAGGAGACCGCATTTAACCCACCTCTAGTCCTGCACGCCAACCGAAATGAACTTGTTCACTGTAGGGGCCTCAGGCTTTGGTCCTAGAGAATACAGGACTCAGGATTGGGCCCCTGCTGCTCTTCCTCTTCCATAGCCACATCTAGCTCAGCGTCTAACCCTGTGCTCAGTGTTCCCTGCAGAGCCCAGCCTTGTTGCAAAGTGAGGGTGGAGAGGGCCACCGTGGCCCTCGAGGGGAGACTGCATCCCAGGCTCTGGCCTGGGCACTCACCGCGTGGTCACAGGACTGGTCAGTGTAATTAGGCTTCTCCCCACTGGGACTCCCCAAAGACCTGGGTTTAGAGTAGGAGAAACCCTTTCTATTCATTCAGGATGAAGCCTCTAGCACAGTGATGGCAAAACTTCCAAAGCTTTCTACAGTAACAAACAGCAGCACACATGCTATAGGTTCGCCACCACTGCTCTGGCCCCTTCTCTCTAGGGCTTTGGAGGATGGAGTCGCAATGGGGGTGGCCTGGGGATTGTGTGCGCTAGCCTTCCTCACCCAAACTTACCCCCCTTTGTGTATCACGGTGTAGAAAGATCACACCACCTTTCTGTCTTCCCTCCCAGATGCTCCAGAAAACCTGGATAAGCAGACTAAGAAAATAGCCCAGCAGATCCTTGAGAAGCGAGCCTACATCTGTGCCCACCCCTTGGACAGGATGTCCTGAGGCAGGGACAGTGCTGCTTCCTGTCCCCAGGCCACAGCTAACACTAGACATCGTGGAGAACCCAGGGCATCCCAGCTGGAGTCACTGTCGCCAGTACGCATTGGAAGGGCTTCCTCCTGCCCCAGGGCCTTGGCTGGCTGACCTGCAGTTGTTCACAGCTGCCGAGCGTGAGAGCATGGAGTTGCACTGCAGCTGTGGACACAGCAGTGGTAGTACCAGGGTTGCAGGGCTTGGTCTGAGGCCGGGCAGCCATTTTTACTATACCACAGGTTAAGAAACAGTTTGGAAGCTGCGGCTGGGTCACACGTGGATACTAGGAGCCATTTAACAAAAAAGAATATAAAATGCTCCAACGTGTGTGTGTCCCTTTCTAGACTTACTATACTAGCCAGTTATTTCCCAGAACTGCCTTTGAGTAGCTAGCAGTACAACCCTGAGAACCACTCTCTGGCAATGACTTCTGGTCCTTCTGGTCTGCTCTGTCCCAGTCCTGGGAGAGGAGGAGCTGAACACTAACACGTAGTACAGGTAGTGCATGGCCACAGGACTTGTGACAGAGCCCTAGCCTTTGACCCCTTGGGTGAAGGAGAAAAAAACTGCATGACCGGAGTATATGGTGTCCGCTTATTCCCACCTGGGGCTTTGTGTTTCTTTGCAAGGATTGGCCTCACCTTTTTTTTTTGGTACCAGGGATCAAACTTGGGCCCTTGGACTTTCAAGGCAGGCGGCAGCACCACTAAGCTAAATCCCAGCCCGGCCTCACTCTTGAAGAGAGGGTGGTAAGGTATCTTTTGGTGGCACCAACAGGGCTTTGCATTTCCTCAAGCTTCTGTCTGGTCCCTGGGCTCCAAAAAGCCTATTGTGCAGGTTACCTGGAGGTGGGAAGGAGACCAGGCCCTCTCCCTTAATGGGAAAAGCTTTACCGATATTGTGATTTGGGAAATAACTTTCTTATGAAACCCAGAGTTCTTTGTCAGCAAACAGGCAGTTAGTATGAAATTTAGAGTAGCTGCCTGCTCTGTATCGTGCAGGGCTGCACAGAGCTCCTCTGCCTGAGAAGCCGGCAGTGGTCAGAGCCTGCCCCATTCTGGAGGGCACCCGGGCATTCTGGGCCTGTTAACAGGGAGGGTCCCCTCAGCAGGTTCCCCACTCGCCCAGCTGGGTTTTAAAAGCCTCACCACCAGGTCAGTCTCCCTTGCACCTTTAGCTTTTTTTTAAATGTTGTGGTGGAGGGGAGCCCTGGAAGCTCAAGGAACCTGGGTGGAAAGGCTGGTAGTGGAGCTGAGGAAGGAGACCCTGTATTCTCAGCTGGACAGAGCCCCCTGCGCACCTGAGCCTGAAAAAGGCCAGCAGGTCTGCGTCCTCACCCCCAGGCTCACAGGCCCAGGGCCCCTCTGAGAGGAAAGGAGCGAAACCAGGCCACAGCGGGGCTGACATCCCAGCACTTTCTCCTGTTTCATTAGCTGTTCCCTTGTCCCCAGCTGTTCTCAGGAGTGGGGGGGAGAAGAACCCCTCTTATGTATCTTATATATATGATCTGGGTTTTTGGGAAAGGTCTTCCTGGCAAACCTTATTGCTAGGTAAAATGTCTCTCCCTGAACAAAGTTTCTGGTTTTGTTAACCAACAAACTTGGGTTCTATATCAACCTCAAAGTGACCCTGAAGTTTGTCTGCATAAACAGAGGCGAAGACAACTCAGGCTTGGTGTAGCAAGGCTTTTCCTTCCTGCCTTCCTCCCTGCTCCTGGATCTGGAAGGTAATTGCAAGTCCAAGCTGAAGCTTGAAAACCTGAGCCCTCCCTTCCACTCCCCAATTTGATAGCTAAGGAGCCAGACCCAAAGCAAGGAAAGGATTTGCCCAGAACCACATGGCTAGCATGGTAGACTGAACTAGAATCCAGTCTGTACACTGGACTTGCCCTGGATCCAGATCGCTGAGCCTTAAAAGTGAACCTGTAGCTAAAAGCAGTGGTTGGTACGGAAGACACGAGGCGGGCCAGAGGCTCAGCTCGGACAGGTCTCACCCTACCCATCGGAGGTTTCGGCGCTGGTGCAGGGGGCAGCTCCAGGACAGGTGGTGCCTTCTTGTACAGCTCAAAGTCCAGATGGCGCTTGTCCCAGCTCCACCTCCCTCGATCCAACGTGGGCTTCAGCACATTTGCAAACAGCGCACGCTCGGTCCACTCCTGGGTTGGGGGCAGACAGGTCAGGAGGGGAAAGGGCCCTGTGAATATGCACCCCCAGCCCTGGCCCCCTGCAGACCTCCTTCAGCTCTTCGATGGGTGGGTGGCTGAAATCTCGGTGGTGGCTTTCAGTGCTATTTTGAAGACCAGTCACTTGGAACCCGACGGCTGTGAGCCAGGCCTGGCGGGATTTTTTCTGTGCTTTCTTTTCCTCTTCCTCAGTGTCCTGAGGCTCCACCATGGCAGAGAGATAATTCTGAGAGTATGTGAATCTCTTCCTTGGCTCCTGGAAATGAGGGACAGACGGTGGTGAGAACAGCTGGGAGCCACCTTGGACAGCGTTGTATGAAAGGAGAGAAGGTTAGCACTCTGCTTGACAAGGGTGGAAGAGGCCCCTGGGCCCAACAGCACGCACTGCCACCAGAACAGCTGGAAACAGCCTTGGATAGGGCCGCGTGGCTGCCAGAATGCCAAGGAAGATCAGAATGGTGCAGTGACAGCTCTTGGCAACCTACATGGTACATTCAGATGGACTGAACTGTGACAGTCCTGTGAGGGCCGCGTTATTGCCCCCTTTGACACATGAAGCAGTTTCCACTTCATGTGCTGTTAGAGTGCTGCTGAACACTAACCCAGGCTTTTCCCCTTTGCCCTCCACAAGAAGAAACAAGCAAGGCCCCACGTGAGGAAGGTGCCTGCTATTTCCAGCCATGCGATTCTGAGGATCCACCTAGGGTGTCTGGCTTGCCCTTGAGTATGGAACAGGACTCTTCCCAGCGCCGCCCCCCACCCCATCCAGTCCCCCTAGCTCGCTGGTTTTCGTCTCCACCCCTGGAGTCCCCTCCAGCTGGCCAGTGGCCACTAGCCTGTCACTCACCTTGGCCATCTCGCGATACAGCTCCTTCTTAGCAAGCTCTGAGGAGTTCAGGGTCTGGATGCTGTAGTTGTGGATGGCCTTGGCAGCAGGGGAAATTCTTAGCACCTTCACCACAGACGTAGGCAGCTTCTTGGTGCTCTCATAGGCTTCTCTGATGTTTCTCTAAAGAAAAACACATGGGTCATGACCTACGGCCGGTGTCAACACTGACTGCTGCCGTGTGTGCAGTGCGATGGCCTCACGTGGCTGCGGTACAGACACTGACTGAGCCTGGATACTGGCGTCACTGTTTCATCCCAGAACCATGACACAAGGCCCTCAGTCCAACCTGTACAAAATGGAGCTCAGATGACCAGAAACTTGAGACACATCACCTAGATTCTCTGCCACCCAGCTGTAGGAATGAGCCAGAATTTGTGGCTCCAGTGGTCAGAAGTGGTGTGGATGGGGATCTGCTGCCCTAAAGCAGCAAGGAAGGACTGCCAGCCTTAACTGTGGCTGACTCTTGTGTGGTACTGGGGGTGGCACCCAGGGGCACGCTAACACTGAGCTACATCTCCAGCCATTTTTTCTTTTGAGATAGGGTTTTGATAAACTGCCTGAGTGTGCCTCAGACTTTCAACCCTCTGCCTCAGTCTCCTGATCAGCTGGGATTACAGGTGTGGGTGTGTCACTGCATCTGGCTTGACGGTGGTTAATTTTTAGTACTGAGTGCACACGGACTATGGCTTGCTTTCTCAACAGGCCCTGTATGGGAACAGGAACCATTCTTTTTGCATAGAGGATGTTGAAAGTAGGTAGCCTCTGGGCTAAGGGCTACTTCTGTGGATGAAAATAGCAATGAGATGGGATTGGCTGAGCAGACAAAAGATAAAATTGGAGGCTGCAGGGAGAGGATGGGGTGGCAAGCATGTGCCAAGTGTGCATGAGGCCCTAGGCACCATCCTCAGTCTTGGAGAACACAACAGAAGATGAAAGAGAAGAGGCTGAGACTCAAAAGAGGCAGAATGGAGAAAAATTATCACTTCAAATTATTACTGTGTTTGCCCTTCATTTGCTTATTCACCTTCAGCAAAATAACCATTTTTTGCTTTCAAGAAAAATTTTTTTCCAAGATGGTAACCTTTCTCTGAGAGGCTGAGGCAGGAGGATCAGAAGTTCAATAGCTGGGCAATTTAGTGACTTAGTGAGACCCTGCCTCAAAATAAGTAACTTTTTAAAAGCAGTTTTGGGTGGTTCTGCCACCTGCCTCGCAAGTGCAAGGTCCCAAGTTTCATCCCCAGTACCAAAATCAAAACAGAATTTTTGGGGATATATATATCTCAGTACAAAGGCCCTGAGTTCTATCCCTAGCAAAAACAATATGGTGGCCTTAACCCAAGAGACTGGTATCTCTGAGGAAGAGCACCAAATAGTCGGGAAGGCGAGTTTGTAATTCACATGTGAGAGAAGGAATTTCAGGCAAGAGGCCCGCATGACTTGGAGCAAAGGGGACAGAAGCAAAGGCAAGACGGGTCACTGGATGAGGGACAAAGCTCAGAAATTGAGCACCCTCATGACTACGCTGCAGAAGGCAAAACAGCTAGAATCTTGTCGTGGCCCATGTGAGATCTTCAGCCTTTTGAGAAGTCCTTCGTGGGAAGGGTGGCCTGAAGTACTCAGTCTTGCCATTGCCAGAGACTGACATGGCCCTGCTCGTCTCAAATCCTACAGCTGACGTTGCTGTTTCTTCCTTACAGTTTAGAAGTGTGGTTCTCACCGAAATAACTGCTTGGTGGGAAGAGAGCGAGCAGTAGCCAGCAGTTACTGTGGGTGCCTGAGATGCTCTGCCCAAGGTTGATACTGGCAGGGGAACTGGACTTGTTGCCAGAGTGACAACAACTGGATACCTGAGAAGTACATAGAGTGTAACAGACAGACCGTGAACGGAACCCTCTGAAGCCCACATATCAGAAGGGATGTGCTAAGAATTTAAGATTATGTGATCGTTCTTATGCAAGTGAAGACAGAGGTGTGCAGCAGAAGTCAGACTAAAGTACTGAGTACATAAATATTCAAAAGAATGCAAATAAGCCAGGCAGTGGTACATGCCTGTAATCCCTGCTACTTCGGAAATTTAGGCAGGAGACCAATTTAGGTTGGAAGCCAATCTGGGTAACCTAGTGAGGCTCTGTTTTAAAACAATTACAAATGCTGGCTGAAAACGTAGCTCATTGGCAGGGTAGGGTGCTTGCCTCACATGCACAAGGCCCTAAATCTCCAGTACTGGAAAAACAAATCAAAAGCAAATAAAAAAGTGAATGAAATATACTACAGAAATGATACAGCTACAGGATGGACTAATGAACTGCAAACAACCAACTTGTAATATACTTCAGAAAGCAGCCATGGATCAAAGAGAATTCGAAACCTGGGTAGAGAGGATCGAGACAGAGCCAGCAACATCCAGATGTCAGAAGTCCCCAGAGGAGGGGGAAAATGAGAATAGGAAGACTTGAAGAAATAGATCAGAATAGATAATGAAAATTCCAAGCCTGAGTAGACTTACCAGTGAGACTTAAGAGAATAGTAGCAAAGATAAATTCTCAAAACTTAGAGCAGAACACTAGGCTACAAAGGAAGCACTGTCAGATTGACATCAGACTGTACCCTGGTGACACTGTCAACACAATGTCCAAGACTCGGCCTAGACAGGCTTAATTGTGAAAAGTCAAATTAAGAGGAAAAAAGAAAATTATGGGGGTAGGCTGTTTAAGTTCCAGTATCTATGTAATTTGCAAAGATAAATTCTCAAAACTTAGAGCAGAACACTAGGCTACAAAGGAAGCACTGTCAGATTGACATCAGACTGTACCCTGGTGACACTGTCAACACAATGTCCAAGACTCGGCCTAGACAGGCTTAATTGTGAAAAGTCAAATTAAGAGGAAAAAAGAAAATTATGGGGGTAGGCTGTTTAAGTTCCAGTATCTATGTAATTTAATGACTCATTCTGAAAGGGAATGAAAAGCATCCCTCTTAAAAAAAAAAAAAAAAGAAAAAGCCCTACTTGGATACGTAGAGAAGAATACTAACAATTAAGAGACAGTTCTAAAATATACTAGAATTTTAAATTTTTTGCTAAAATAAAACAGACGTATTTGTGGCCATTGGTTCCAGAAAGCAGTGGAGTGTTGGGCAAAGTCTAGCAGGTGGGATTTGAACCCATAACCTGGCACAGCCCAGGACAGGACAAAGGCCCTGACCCCAAGCACCCTGAGTTTACTACACACTAAAGCTTTCTGAATGAAAGAAAAAAATATAAGGATAGCAGACCTGAAATTGTAGCAAACAGAAATGAGCAAAATTTGTGGCTGGGCAAGAAGAAGATAGAACTAGTGTGGTGGACTAAGGAGCTCAGGAAATCTCAAAACCTGGTAGCCACATTGTCAAAGGAACTACCGGAGTCTCAACAAAGGCATCCAGCACACTCAGAAGTGTAGAGTCATAAATATGTTCTGAAACAAAAACCCCAACTTTTAAAACAAGCAAATGATCAGAGTATTTCTCAAGAAATCCAAAAGGCCAATAGACATACATACATACACACTCATACCCATCAGGGAAATGTGAATCAAAGCTACAATGAGATATCTCACACCATATTAAAATAGCTGTTACAAAAAAATGTTAACAGTGGGAGGCTAATGCAGGAGGATCACAGGCTTAAGCCCAGCCTGGGTGATTGAGACCTGGTCTCAGATTTTTTAAAAAAGGGCTTGGGATGTAACTCAGTGCAAAGGTCCTGGGCTCAAACTCTAGTACTGTGAAACTAATCAATGTGGCAAAGATGTGGAGAAAAAGGAACTCATACACTGCTGGTAAGACTGTAACTTAGTATAGCTATTATGGAGAGCAGTATGAAAGTTTCTGCAAAAAACTAAAACTAGATCTGCTGTATAGCCCAGGTACCCCACTCTGGATCTATATCTATATCTACACCTATATCTATCTATCTATCTATCTATCTATCTATCTATCTATCTATCTGTCTGTCTGTATCTCCACAGGGTTTAAAGTCAGCAACCTAGAGCACCCTCATCCCTGAGTCTGCTGCAGCTCTAGTCACAAAAGTTGAAGTACAGAATCAGCCTGAGTACCTGTCAACAGAGAGCAGGTGAAGAAAGTGTGGTGAATATATCCACACTTACTATTTAGCCATGAGGAAGAATGAAATCCTTCATATGTAACAAAGTGGAGGGAACTAGAGGACATTAAGTGAAAAAACTCAGACACAGACAGATACTACATGTTTTCTCTCAACTGTACAAACTTGGTTTGATTAGTGCATGTGGTATGCAAGTATTGTAGTATCACACTGAATCCCATGAATACACCACTAATACATGTTAATAAGAACTAAAATAATACTATGGAGGAAGATGTACTCTCAAGTAAGTGCACTGGGAATCACTCCTAAGCCCAGGTGTGGCTCTCTCTTTGGATCAAGAAAGGAAGTAAGGCTGGATGAGGTCAGGACGAGGAGCTTGGGTCGGATAGAACTAGTGTCTAAAAGACACCAGGGAAGCTGGGCCTGGTGGTGCCTTATAATGCCAGCTACTCTGAGGGCTGAGGCAGGAGGATTGCAAGTTCAAGGTCAGATCATAGCTCAAAAAATTTAAAAAGGGGGTGGGGATGTAGCTCACTACTCCCTGGGGTCAACAGAAGAAAAAAACCTGATAAAATTCATAAAAAATAAATGTTTACATTTCAAACTTTTCCTTTCATTGATAAAAAGACAAGCCACAAATATGGAAAAATATTTATGAATCATTTCTGATTAAGAACATATCTAGAATCTAAATAGTTCAGCAATATGACAAAGAACCTACTTTACAATGGATTAAAGAAACATTAACTGCTAAGAAGCACATTAAAAGATACCCAGTATCATCTGTCATCACAAAATTTAAATGAAAAGCACAAGATGCATGGTATGAATAGGAAATGTCAAGCCATTTCCTAGTAGCAATTCCTAAGATAAACAAAACAAAACAAAAACCATGGAATGATATTTCCAACTGATTTCAGTAAATTGTAGGACCCAGCAGGCTATTAAAATGTATACTAACATAGAATGCTGTACCTCCATGTTAGTGTAAAATCTGCTGGACTTCCTCTTTAATAGCACTGATGAAGTGGTAAAGCCACTAGTGAACAGAAGCTATTCCTGTCCTTAACACGCGTCAGTGCACCGCGAGGGCGACACGGGGAAGACGGCCTCAGCACTGCTGCACTATTTAATGGACGTGAATGCAGATCCTGTTTTGTAATTTACAAGAGATTTAAGGTGAACAATAACCAGAACATAGAATGCACATAACACTTTGGAATATGACCAACAATATGTACAGAGGAAAGATAACAGCCTTGAGTTGTTTTTCTTAAACTAGAGAGAAGATGAATGAGTCAACTCATGAAGCTCAAAGAGGAGAAAAATGGTGTTAAAAATATAAACATAAAAAAAACTGAAAAGGCAAAATTAATAAATTCAAGAGTGAGTTCTGAAAAAACTAAAAACCTAGACAGTAAAGGAAAAAAATAGCTTCTTTGGTCTTCATAAAGAATGCAGATAGGAGATGCTTATAAGCTGTTGCTGCATGCATGTGTGCGCGTGTGAGACCTGAACTGAGGGCCTTTGCACTGAGCTAGACCCCCAGCCCTTTTCCTTCTCTCTTTTTGGTTTGTTTGATTTTTGTTACTGGAGATTGAACACGGGACCTTGCGCTTGCAAGGCAGGTGGTGGCACCACTGAGCTAAATCCTTGACCCTTCTTTCATTGTATTTTGAGAAGCCCAGGGTCTCACTAAAGTGCCCAGGCTGGGCTGGAACTTGCATTCTTTCTGCTTTGGCCTCCCAAGTAGCTGGGATTACAGGCATGCAGCACCACGTCTGGTTTAATGTCAACTCATTAAGCTGTCCCTAGAAATGAACAAGTTTATAAGTTTTTAGGAGCTGGGGGGAAGAAAATGTAAGAAAAAGCAAAAACAAGAAACCTGGACACTAGAGGGAGGGAGTAGAGGTGGTAAGGGAGGCTAATTTCTGTCCTACATTGCTCAACTTGTTAACGTGTGTCCTTAGTAGCTCAGGCAGGCGGGTATACGTGTTCCTACAGGGATGCATGCACACACATGTGATGTTTCTCTCTATAAGATTAACTCTGGGACCGTGGCAAATGTCACATGCCCAAGCGCCTTCCTTACCTGTAGGAGGCCAGCCAGCACTGACAGTGGACACTTCTGCACACTTAGCCCCGACCCCAGCCGGAGGCAGGTGCCCACCTATCTTGGCAGGAGGGAGGAGACGCCCACCTGGACCAGGCTGGCTTGGCACCCGCTCCTCTGCAGCATGGTGGCCCGCCACTGCAGGTACTTCTCCTGGTGGGCGAGGATCTCGGTGGTCAGGGTGGAGCCCCGGCTCCGGAAGGCTTCCAGGTTGGGGGCGGGCTGCGGCGGCAAGGCCAGGAGCTTTCCATCTGTGAGGTCCTCTTGCAAGATGGGGACGCCGAACTCTTGGTTCAAGTCCTTGATCATGGCGGAGGAAGGCAGCAGGTCTCTCACAATCACCTCCTTGAGCCGGGTGCTGGTGTGGCAGATGTCGTAGATCCTGGAGTGAATAGCCACCCCCTCAGCCTCGCCTGCTTGGTGACACGGGGATGGATGTCCCTGTCTTACAGGAGGCAATGATAACTCGGGGCGGCAGGTCAGCAGATTCCAGTCTGAGGAACCTGGACTCTTGGCACGTGCCTGGTCCCTCCTTCATGTCCCAAGACATTAAGGGCCACCCACATCCGCTCTGAGTACTCTTCTGTGGCTGGTCTTGTCCATGTCCCTCATTGCCAAGTGCCCCCCTGCAGAGCAGCCCTAACAGGCTGGTGTGAGGGGGGTGGACTCAGAATCCTGCCCACAGAGGGCAGTGTGCACACAGCCTCATTTCTGAGCACAGCTTAAGGACCAAGTGGTAGCCCTGCCTCTCCCACCCTTCCAAAGGCCCTCTTAGTGCAGGTCATCGTGATGCAAGTCTGTAATCCCAGCACTCTGGGAGGCTGAGGAAGGAAGATGACAAGTTCGAGGTTGGCCTGGGCAACTTAGCAAGACGCTGTCTCAAAAGAAAAAATTTCAAGAGAGTGGGATGCAGCTCAGTGTGAAGGTTCAATTCCCAGTACTACACACACACACACACAACAAAGCAAACAAAACAACTAAAAACATCTCCCCCCTCGGTGCCTTCTCCCAGGCCCAGCATGGCAGTGCCAGGTCCACACGGGACACCTGCAGTCCGGGGTAAGGCAGTGCCTGGGGATGTCCCCTGCCTCTCGTGTGACTTGCTCAATTTCTGCTCACCTTTCAGGCAGGAATAAAGCCATGGTAAAGGCAGCTCCCACTTTCCTGGAATAAATAGCTTTCTTCTCTCTCCCTGACAGAGTGCCCAGCGACTTCCCATTGTGGGTACCCAGCACAGGCCCTGCCATCCCCTGACCTCCAGGCTCAGAGCCCCCAAACTCTTGGCACCTCCTCCTGTGTCTCTCAGCCTGAGAACTCCCGCCTGGCATGCACCTGCCTGGGTCCTGGGTCCTCAGCATGAACTCTGTCTCCGTTTCTCTCCTTCTGCCAGTATTACTAGTACTGCTGCCACTACCATCGATCCCACCACTACTATCTACTATTAAAACTAGTTTTTGTGATACTGGGGATTGAACCCAGGGCCTTGCACTAAGCTGCACTCCTAGCTCTTTCTAAAAAAGTCTTATTCTGAGACAGGGTCTCACTGAACTGCTAAATTGCCCAGGCTGGAGTCAAATTTTTGATCCTCCTGCCTCAGCCTCCTGCCTCAGCCTCCCAGAGTGCTAGGATTATAGGCATGCTCTTTTTTGTTTCTGGGGTTTTTTGCTTGATTTTTGAGATGGGATCCTGCTGTGTAGTTCAGGCTGGCCTCAACCACTCAGGTATATCCATCTGCCTCAGCTCTGCAGTGCAGGGATTACAGCTGTGCCTCCAGCACGCCCTGCTAGGCTGATCTTTATTAAACATCCAAGGAGCAAGACTGGATGAGGAGGAGGAGAGGGAGGACCCTCCCCTTCCCCCAGGCCCACCTGGCCAGCGCCTGGAAGACTGTGCGTGGCACTGCGTTGCGCACGTAGAAGGCCTGCTGCCTCATGAGCTGTGCCATGGGCGTGGAGAGGCGCACGTGGTACACGACGGTCTCCAGGTCTGCGTAGAGCCTGCGGCGGAACAACAGCTTCGAGTTGTACAGCACCTTGTACTCCCCATGCTGGGACTTGGGGATTCTGCAAGAGAAGGCGGACAGAGAGGGCATTCGCTTAGTTCCCACTAGTCTGGGAAATTAGCTTTGTTGTCTAGCAGGGCTTTTACTTTTGCTTAAGAACAAGGGCCAGGTGTGGTGACACATGCCTGGGAGGCTGAAGCAGGAAGATGGCTGTAGCAGGCAATTCAGCAACTTGGAAAGATGCTTTCTCGAAGGCTGGTGGGTGGGGGCTGGGATGTAGCTCAGAGCTAATTCCTGGGTTTTTACAGTTTTCTTATTGATTCACGGGATGTCCTTTTTATGTTCAGGTTACTAATTCTGTTCCACCCATGGCTTGTCCTTTTACAATTCTTATGGTATCTTCTGATGAACTGTTTCTCTATTGTGAGGTCGTGGACATGTTCTAATTTATTACCTAAATGCTTTAATGTTGCTTTTCAAAAAGGGATTTTTCTGGTGAAATCAGAGAGTAAGATCATTGTAGTCTAGTTCAGCATCCTGTTTCAATCGGGAAAACATTAGTTATGGAAGATGTTGCCACCAGGGAGCTGGGTAAAGGGTGCATGGAAACTCCAGGCATGCACCTCAGGAAACGAAATTCGTGTCCGCACGAAAACCCAGGTAGGGTTGCTCAGAGCAGCTTTATAGTAAAAAACCAGAAACAACCGAAATGTCCCGCAACAAGTGGATGGATGACTACACAATGGCACAGCTGTGCCAGGAAACACTGTGCAGCAATCAGAAGAAACCAGCCACTGACACACGCACTTTGGATGGGTCTGTATGGCACAGGGGAAAGAATCAAAAGGCCGTGTATTTTCTGATCCTACTTCATTTTAGGATGGAAAACAATTAGTGTTTGCCCGAGGCTAAGGCCGGTTATGGAGGTAGGTTTGACTATAAATGGGAAGCAAAAAGGAGATCTTTCTGGTGACGTAATAACCCAGGGTCTTCATTGTAGTGGTGGCTACACGACATATGTGCTAAACTGGCCTACACCACACACACTAAGGTTAATGTCCTATTGGGATTACAGGTATGTACTGCTGTGTCCAAGTAACGTGTGTGTGTGTGTGTGTGTGTGTGTGTGTTTGTGTGTGTGTGTAAGAATTTGTTTATCCATCACTTAGTGGTCAGTTAGTTTCTTTCCATTTGGGGGCTATTATGAATAATGTTGTTACAAGTATTCATGTATTAGGTTGGTGTATGTTTTAATTTTTCTTAGTTACAGACCTGGGAGTGGGATTCCTGAGTCATATTGTAACTCTATGTTTAATCATTCAACAGACTGTCAGACTATTTTCCAAAGCAATGAAAGACAGTTCTGATTTATCCACATCTTCACCAACATTTCTTGATTTTTTTTTTATTCTAGCCTTTCTAATGGGTAGGAGGTGGTAGCCCACTGTGTAAAATTTATTTTTTTAAAATGTGAAACTTAGTAATTTTATTTTTCTCCTTTTATTAATTTTAGCATATTCATTCCCTGCTGATTTTGCAATATCACACGTCATATATCAAGCAACAGCTTATCTGTCATCTTCTTGAATTATCTGTTATTTTCAGGGATCTGCTTATTATACCTGAACAAATAGCACATTGTCTTAATTACTATAGTTTTATAATAAGTCGATATTTAGTAGAACAGGTTCTCTCATCTTGTTTGTATTTGAGTCTCTTTTTAAGACCTGTGTATGTTGGTGTACATTTTAAAATCAATTACTCAAGTTGTGTACTTTGAAAATGTTGGGATTTTAGAATTGGCATTGCATTTCTGGGCTGGGGATTTAGCTCAGAGGTGCCATGCTGCCTCGCAAATGCAAGGTCCTGAGTTTGATCCCCAGTACCGGAAAGAAAAAAAAAAAAAAGAATTGGGATTGCATTGACTGTATAGAGCCAATTTAGGAATAATGGGTATTTTAAGATTTAGTGTTCTCCCATCCGTGAACATAGTATCTCCACTTATTTTTTTTGGTACCGGGGATCAAACTCAAGTCCTTGTGAGGCAGGCAGCAGAACCGCATGGGTCTTTTTTAGTGTTTCTCAGAGTTCTGTGATATTCATGATGGAGTCTTTTCTTTTCATGTCTTTATGTAAAATTTATTCCTATAAATTTCAAGTATTTTTTAAATTGGTTTTTAGATGTAGATAGTATTTAGCTTTTTTTTTTTTTTAGTGGAACCAGGATTGAACCCAGGACCTTGCACTTGCCAGGCAGGCACTGGCGCCACTGAGCTAAACCTTCAGCTGGTAGTTAGCAATTTAATAACATTTTTCACCAATTTTTATGTCCAAAAAATTTCATTAAACTACCTTATCTGAACATGTTTTTGGCATTAAAGTTTTATAAAATTTTAAATTTATCAGTACAGTTTGAAATATACACATCAATGCCTGCAACATCTACAGTTGTATCTCATTCATTTTTAGCCTTTTCCTCTCAAATCTAAGGCTGTAATTTTTCCTCCCATTAAGGGGTATTTGTTTAAAAAGTTTAAAATCCCTTAACTTTTAAATATTCCTGGTAGGAAGAAAGGAGCTAAAGGTGTAGGGAAGGTGGGATGTGTAGGGGAAGGGTAATAAGGGAAAAGAAAAAAATGTGAGATAATGAAAAGATGGAAATAAAGTAGTTGTAAATGGGGAGGGGGAGAGAGGGTGAAGGGAGGGCAGGGAGGGCAGGGACAAGGGGAAAAAACGAGAACCAAGACCTGTCATGTAGAGGTACAAGATCCCAACAATGAATGTAACTGTACTGTCTCCCTAAAATGTACCAATAAACTCAATTAAAGCTGAAAAAAAATAAATATTCCTGGTACTATCACGGTTTACAGAGCAATACACATGATATAGTGAAAAGAAAAAGGAAAAGGCTAAAACAAAAGAACTCAAGAATGAACATCTAGTTGTCACCACACTGCATCCATCAACAAACTTTTTGCAGCGTGGCCATGACATCCCAACAAGAATGGCTTCCTGATTAAACTGCAGTGATTTTTCTGACTACACATCACTGTTGCTCCTGTAGCCAGAATTTACAGTTCTTCTATCGTACGTGAGGTTGTCTCAAAGTAATGGGCACCTTTCCTGATGACTTCTTTCTCTCCTGATGAGAATGAGAGCTCTTTTCTAATTCCTCTGCTACTGTGTCTAGTTCTCTCACCAGAGTAACTGCCTGAGCTTCCTCCTCCAAAACTGCTCTCCGTCCTGAGTCCATAATTGTATTGCTCTTGTCTGTTGCTGTAATTTCCAAAATCATGATAGTTCCCACCACCACTGCCAAAACTTCCTCTTCACTGCAACCATCCTATCCTCCATCATTACCCCATATCCACCACTCTGGCGTCTAAATCCTGGTCCACCACAATCACAGCCTCCTTAACAGCTATAAATAACCAGGGCCACCACCAGAGCTGCCACCGTCACCTCCTCTGTCACCTGCTTCGTCACCTCATCATTCTCCTGCCACATTCCCTCCATGGCCAAAATTATCTCTGCCTCCTCCAAAGTTTTCTCTCCAACCCATAAAGTTGCCAGACCCTACCCCACGGCCCCTCTGTGATCCTCAAGACTATGTCTCTTATCTAGAAAAGGCCTTTTCCACTGCACAATTCTGCCTGCTAACAGTGTGGTATTTCTGAACAACAGTTTTACCATCTGTGTCATGATCATCACAAGTTACAACAGCAAATTCTCTTTGTTCCTCTCTGCCTGACTTCCACACTTTTACTCTAGCCATACTTTGTAGAGTAGTCTCTCAAATTGGGTTTCTTTTGCCTGTCCTTTCACACCACCAGCAAAAATTGTCCTCGCTGCTGGAAGAACCCAGGCTTCCCAAATACTCTCTGGAGCCAGCTCTCTCGAGCTCTGCTACGGGCAAAGCAACCTGTTTTGCTGCAGCCACACAAGAGGAAGTCCCAGAGCGGAGCCGCACACGGGGCTGCAAGGCTGCCCGTTTCTTAGCACATCCTCTTACACTCTCAGTTGCAGTATCAAAGCTCAGAAATAGCTTCCTCCCCTGCTCTGCTTCCTTGGTCATGGTCCTCCCTCCACCAGCTACCCCTAGTGGTGACCTCTAAATTGGTTTTTTTTTTTTTTTTTTTGGTACCAGGGATCGAACTCCAGATCTTGTGCTTGTGCTTGCAAGGCAGGCAATGGAACCACTGAGCCAAATCCCTGGCTCTCTAAGTAATATTTTGACATTGCCTTACTGATTTAGATATTGTGTATTTTTATTATTGTTCCATCAAAATGTCTAATTTCTCTACAGTTTTGGGGCTTACAGGTTATTTGGAACTGTATATTAATTTCCAAGCAGATGAATTTTTCTATTTTTAAAAAATTTCTAAGTCCATTAAACTGAACTCAGTCCCTCTCTCTCTCTCTCTCTCTCCCCATTCAAACACGTTTTGATCATTACTGGAGCTCAAACCCAGGCGTGCACATGCTAGGCAAGCACTCTACCACTGAGTCACACCTCCAGCCCAGTACTATACAATTCACATACTACACACATAGAATGAGTCACCGCAAAGTGTGAAGGCACAGTCTCCAAACCACTGTTACATCTGAGGACTACAGACCACCATCAGGTGCGACAATGGGAGGGCTCACAGAACTCACCACGTGGTCCTCACAGAAATGGTCTATTACAGGGAAGGGACACAGAATACACACCAGCCAGGGCAGAGTCCAGGACAGTTTCCAACACTGGATTGTACTCCCCTCCCCTCATGGAGTCATGGTCCTGACAAGTGCCACCAGTGAGTCCTGGCAGCCAGGGAGGCTGACCTGAGCTGTGGCATTCAGCAGGGGCAGCGACACTGCCCCGTGGGGGCTCTGGGCTCCAGATCAGCTGTATTGTGGGACCCAGAGCCCCCACCCTAAGTCACACGGCTGGTCTTCTAGCCTGCCCAGCCTTCATCTATGACTAGCAGGTGTGGCCAGTCCCCATCCTCAGCTTAAAATTCAACCTTTTAAAGTGCATAATGGGATGGTTTTCGGGTTTTCTTTGTTTTTGTTTTTGTTTTTTTGCTACTAAGGATCGAACTCACAACCTTGCGCTTGCAAGGCAGCCGTGGTGCCACAGGGCTAAATCCCTGGCCCCAGGGATGGTTTTTAGTATACGCACCACGTTATGTCATGCATCCTACCAAACTCTAGAATATTTCCATCACCCTGAAAAGAAAATCTACCCATTACCCATCTTTTCCTCTCCCTTGAGTCCATGGCAACTACTGATCCACTTCTATCTTTGCAGTTGCTCTTTTTTTGTACCGGGGATTGAGCTCAGGTCCTTGTGCTTGCAAGGCAGGCGGCGGAACCACTGAGCTAAATCCCCAGCCCTGTGGTTGCTTTTTCTGGATATTTCACACGAATGGAGTGGCACAGTAGGCACTTTTGTGCCTGGCTCCTTTTACTCAGCAAAGTGTGTTTGAGGTTCGTCTATGTTGAAGTGGACCAATACTTCATTTATTTTGGGGGCCAAATAATATTCTGTTGCACAGATACACCACATTTTGCTAATCAGATGATAGGTATCTGGGTTATTTCCACTTTCTGACTATCATATAGAGAGCTGCTAAGAACGTTTGTGTAAAAGTTTCCATGTGGATTTGTGTTTGGTTATTGCTGGTTCCTCTCTGGTGCCCCTGGCTCATCAGCGCTGCAACTTCCAGACAGGCTTCTGGGGGCTGGGCCACCTGACCTCTGGGGGCAGAGCGGGTCTCCACACTAGAGAAGGAAACTGTTTTTTTGTTGTTGTTTGGTACCAGGGATTGAACTCAGGACCTTGAGTCTGTGAGGCTGGTGGCAGAACCACTGAGCCATAAATCCCCAGCCCTAATTTTGAGGTTACTTTCAAACTGTGGAAGACAGAATTATCATGTCACCAAAACTAAAGAATGGAAGAACATGAGCAGCCCCTGCTCTGGGTCCAAGTAGACATTTTAAGGCTTCCCCAGTACGTGAGAACTTAATGTGGCACAGCTGCCCCATATCCTCCAGAGAAGAGCAACTTCCTGAAGTCAAGGTGGCCCCTCCAGCCTCGAAATAATCAGACAGGGCTTCCCTGAGCTGAGCTGAATCCAACATGGAACCTCTGCCCTATTAGTCACAGGAGCCCCGGCTCCGGCCTGAGGTCAGTACCTGTCTTCTGAACTACCCTGTCTCTGTCTACCCCTAAATCTTTCCTTCCTCTAAACACCATCAATTCTGCCTGTTCTCAAGTCTGGTTAATGGGCCCTGCTGATGAACCCTGAAGGGACGGGCACAAACATCTCCCTTTCTGACACCAGGACAATGCCACCCTTCGCCTTGGAAGGTCTCTCACCACCTCCACACCTGGACAATGTGGCTTTCACCTGAAATACAGAGGAAGCCCCTACCGGCTCTGGTGGCTGTTCCACAGCTGCTTGAGGCCCTGCTCTGCCAAGCCCTCGAGGACAAAGAGGTGGACTGTGCCATCCAGCACATGGAAGCCTGTGAGCACATCCAGGGACGGCTGGTCCTGCACCTTCACCCGCATCTTGAAGGCCGACAGGATCTGCTGGACATTACGGATTGGGTAGGAGTCTAGCTCCAGGGCCTTGGCGTTGATTGTGGTGATATCGTGCAGCAGGTTGTGGAGGAGGAACAGCTTCTTGAAGCTGAACACAAAAATGATGCGGCCAAACGGAGAGTCCATGAGATCTGGTTGAGGGGCTTCAGCCATGGTGCTCAGTGGCACTGCGACGCCCACGCGCAGCTTGAGCTGCGAGTTCGCCTCCAGGTAGCAGCCCATGGGCATCGGGCTGTGCTGCAGGACATCAGGCCTCCTGTTCTTGCTGCCCTTGGCACAGCCTGTGGACTCAGGCTCACAGCTGTGGATAGGGACAACCAGGTTCAAATACTTGTGGCCAAGGAGAAGGTTGGCAAAACTGACTCGGGCGACTCCATAAGGGTCCCACAGCTTTTTCTGCGACTCAAAGGGGTTGTTCTCTGTGTCTGCGGGGGAGATGAAGACCTGCAGGTTGAGGTGTGAATGCAGGGGGTCTTCTCCAAACAGGATGGGCTTCTGGGAGGACTCCTCAGATTTCCGGTCCCGATCGTGGACTTCAACCACCATGGGGGGGCCTTCCAGGTACTCCCGCAGCTCACTGGGGTGCATGGCCCCAAGGAAGATGACGTTAATGTCATGGAAATAAATATGGGTTCCGTGGGGCTCCCCCTTGGTCTGGTGAACCGGAGTCTTATGGAACTGGTACCTGCAGTAGACGGGTGTGCACAGCCTCTAGGAGAGAGCAGGCAACAGCAGGTCACGAACTGCAGCTGTCACTGCCTCCACCAGAGGGAGGCTCCCAGCATGGGGCAGGCACATCCCAGGGCCACACTCACTGCCTGCAGCCATGGGAGCCCGCGTTTTCTCCCCATGGGCACCCACAAAAGGACCCACTTTGCAAAGTTGCTGTGGACCACCTGACATCGTGCAGGTGATGGCGCCAGCGTGGGGGCTGGCACACGACAAGAGCTTCCTGAGGTTCAGTCAGCATTTTCCCCGCTACCCTGAAAGCGCCTTTGCAAGCATCTGTTCACACGTGTGTTCCTAGTGCTCATCCCAAGGCTGAGCACAGAAAAGGTGGAGCTGAGTTTTTAGAAGAGGATTAACAATCTCGCCAGGGTGTAGCTCAGGAGTTCAGACGTCCACCTGCAGGGCCAGCAGAAGCTCCCCTGTGCTGTGGCACAGGTGTCCACGCTGAGAGCTGCACCCCGTGAAGAAGACACCTGCAGGAGGCACGGGGCCGCAGAGCGTGCAGAAAAGGAGGCAGAAGGAGCAGCAAGCTGTGCTGGAGGAGGAGGGAAGGGAATATGCGCACTTTAACCTCACTGCAAAGATTTTATAATCAAGAGCTAAGCCTGCACAAGTCCGAGGTCTGACTTTATCTTCTGAGCATGCTATTTATTTTACACCACATTGAGAATTGATTTAAAAATAATCCTGGACCAGCAGTGCTCCCAGGTACCTGGAAGAGAGTGAAAAGTATCCCTGGGGAAACTCACTTTCAAAAGAATTCGCACCGTCAAAGTGTCAGAGACCATGAAATCACGGCAAAAGTGACAAACTACCGAAGGAAAACAGTCCCACTTGCAAAATGAGATGCACAAAGCATGTGACATTATAAAATAAACATAAAACATTTGGTAACTTTGAGAAAATGAAAGAATGTCATCAGGGTAAAAGCTCACTATTTACTAACAATGAATAGTTTAAAATGCAGTTTTAAAAATGCCATTTACCATAGCATAAAACTTAGGAAGAAATCAAATGAAAGCCGACAACTATAAAAACACCGCAGAGAGAAATTAAAGATTAAATAAAGATATCAGTTTCACGATCGTGACCACGTTTATACTGAAACATCACAGCTAAAATTGTAAATCTTGTAGAAGAAAACAAAGCAGAGTATCTCCATGACCTAGGGGTGGGAAAGGATTTAATGGGACACAAAAATCATATTAGAAAAAGTTGGTATTTTAGGCTTTAGCAAAGACACTGTTAAGAAAATTAAAGTCAAGCTTCAGACTATGAGAAAATATTTATAATGCATTGATTTCTGCTGGAGTCTTTCTATATTTGTTTTGTTTTGTTTACAGTACTAGAAATCAAACCAGGGGCCCCAGGAATGTAGATGCTAGGAAAGGGCTCCGCCACTGAGCTACACCCACAGGCCACATGGTATAAATACTTGTGCTGCTCAAATTCACATGTTAAAACCTAATCCCCAATATGGTAGTATTAGAAGCCAAAGTCTTTGGAAGGTGATTAGGCCCTGAGGACCCACCCCCAGGACTGGGATTAGTGGCCCACGGCAGAGGCCCAGAGAGCTCTCTGGCTCTTCCGGCCAAATGGACCCAGCAGGAAGCAGTTTATGAGGAGGAATGGGCCTGACCCAGATACTGATGCTGCTGTTTCCCTGATCTAAGCCCCACCAACCTCCAGAACAGGGAAAAGGAAATTATGTGGTTGATAACTCACATACTTAATGGTATTTGTGTTATAACAGCCCTAATCAACTAAGATGATATGTCACAAAGGACTCCCATCTACATTATAAAAAGAACTTCTACAGGGGCTGGGGATTTAGCTCAGTGGTTCCACAGTCTGCCTCACAAGCACAAGGGCCTGACTTCGATCCCTGGTACCAAAAAACAAAACAAAAACAAAAAAGAACATCTACAAATGTATAATAAAAATATTAAAATAGTAAAGAGAAGCTCGGCAGTCTAGTTACACGGCGTGAGCACGCTCCACCCTGACCCTCCCAGGGAAGGCAGCGGAGAACCCAGGGCAGAAATCTCAGGCCCTCCCTGAGCAGGTGCTATTTGGGGGCAGCGGCATCATCAGCCGGGAAGTGCATAAAAATCTGAGCAGAGAATTCTCTCAATAGAGGATATTTGGGGAAAAATGCAGCTCCCCACCATGAATGCATTCATTATGCATCACAAACATGTCCTGTACCAAAAACAAACAAACAAAACAAAAAACAAACACCAAACCCATAGGGAGGACCCCCACTGCTGTTCTTCCTCTGTGCGCTTTTATACCACGTGTCCTCAGAGGGAGACCCTGTTGCCCAGGTACATGGTAGAGTGGGAAACCCAGAGCTGCACCTTTCCAGCCACAGGATTGGGAAGGGGTCCTGTGGAGCTAGAGAATGTGCAGCACACTGTGAGGAGGAGGGAAACTGAGAAAGGGAGCCCATGAAGTCCGGCCTATGCTCATGGGTTCATCCCTGAACTAGGCACGCACAGAATAGGTGCTGAGCAGCCCACAGAGGCTCACACCTGACCTGCAGAGCAGGCCCTGCCCAGGCCCCAGGCTGGCCCCCAGCAGTGCACATGCAGGGCAGACTTAAACAGCACCACAAAAATCTTTCATTTTGTACTCACAGCCTATACAGAATGTGATTTGGAATGTTCAGCTTCATCTTAACTGGGTATATTGTCCAATAAAAAGATGGGCACAGTGGCACAGGCCTGTAATCTCAGCACTCTGGGAGGCTGAGGCAGTAAGACTGCAAGTTTGGGCCTCAGCTGAGCAACTTATTGTCTTATTGAGACCCTGTCTCAAAATCAAAAATAAAAAGAGCTGGTGGGGCCGGGGATTTAGTTCAGAGGTTCCGCCGCCTGCCTTGCAAGTGCAAGGACCCGAGTTCGATCCCCAGTACCAAAAAATAAAATAAAATAAAAAGAGCTGGTGATACAGCTCAGAGAAGGCCCTGGATTCAATACCCGATGCTGAAATGAATGAATGAATGAATGAACAAATGAATGTACGCCATTATCTTCCAAGTATTTAGACAAGACCCATAACCTCGTAACCGTCAAAAATTCTAAGATACAATTCAAAATTACTTGACATACAAAGAAGGAAGGAAGTTCGGGTAGTCACCAAGGAGAGAGAAAGTCAACAGATGCCAACTCCGGAAATTGGCATCAGTTTAAAGTAGCTATTGTAATCACACTCTGAGTAGTAACAACAAAGACTAGCTAGAAACACTTGGAAAGGTAGCCTGGAGGGATGGGGAAGGGATCTGTGGTTTCCAGGGCTGGGGTGGGGTTCCTAGAAAGGGACTGAGTGAGGAAAGATTAGAGACGCAAGGCAAGCAGAAAAAGACTTCCGGGGATGTTAATGCTACATTTCAGTGAGAAATTTTTTTAAAACTTATCAGAAGAACAAACATACTCTTTGAAGAAAGATAAATAATTGTTTTCAAATGTCAAAATTCACAGAGAACTAGGCATGCTAAACAAGATACCACATGGGCTAGGGATTGAGCTCAGTGATTCCGGCGCCTGCCTCACAAGTGCAAGGGACCAAGTTCAATCCCTGGTACCAAAAAACAAAACAAAACAAAAAAAACAAAAAGATACCACGAATGAGAAGCAGCAGAAACAACAGATCATGTAAAGAAACCCATGGGCTCCAGATACTGGAATTATTACAGATGGTGTTTATTGACCAGGGTGGCTCACACCTGAAATCCAGCACTTGGGAGGCTGATGTAGGAGAATCATTATAATGACTTCAAGGCCAGTCCGAACTACATAGTGAGATCTTTTGTTTCTGAGACAGGGTCTTGTATGCAGTTCAGACTGGTCTTAAACTATGTAGACTAGGGTGGCCTCGAACTCAGTGATCCTCTTTCCTCAGCCTGCTGAGTGCTGGGATTATAACCATGCACCACCACACCCAGCCCGTAGTGAGATCTAGTCTATAAAAATAAATGAACAAATTGTATTTGCTGAGGCAGGCACAACATCAACCTTCAAAGGTGTCCATATCCTAATCCCCCAAACCCATCAGTATATTATGATATACGGCAAAGAACTGCCACAGATACAGACTGAACTGTGTCTCTCAGAAAGATCTGCTAAAATTCTCACCACACTGGGACATAACTGTGACCTTAGACATAATTAAGATAATGATATCGGAGTGGTCCCTAATGCAGTACGATGTATGTTATGGTTTAGAGCTAAAGGGTCCCCCCAAAGTCCATGTGTTGAGAAGATGACTGGCTCCTGGGGTGCTTTATCAGTGGATTCATCCATGGATGTGTTCACGGCTGGAGGGCGCTGAGGAGGCGGGGCCTGGTCAGAGGTGGTCACTGGGTGCGACCTGGAACAGTGGATTCTTGTCCCTGGCTCCTCCCTTCTCTCTCTGCTTCCTGGCTGCCATGAGGCGAGCACCTTCCTCCTCCACACCCCTCTGCCTTGGAGCCAGCTGACTGTGGAATGGGCTCACCAGAAACCGTGAGTTGAATAAACCTCTCCTTCTCTAAGTCATGGGTGTTGGGTATTTTGTCCCAGCAGTGGGAAAAGTGACTAAGACAACATGACTCTAGCCTGTTGATGTGATCAATCTCATTCATTTATTTTCAAATATGGAACTGGCCTTGCATACCTGGAATGAATCCCAGTTGGCCACGGTATAATTCTTTCCAGACACTGTTAGATTTGAGTATGTGTAGTTTTGTAAGAAACTGCCAATCTGCCTTCAAGGTAGCCATACCGTTTTGCCTTCTCACCAGCACTGGTGAGGACTCCTGTTGCTCCACATCCTCACCAGCATTTGTTGGCATTAGTATTTGGGCTTTGCCATTTCAACAGGTCTAGAGTGGAGTCTACCCCGTGCTATAAACATTACCATCTAGTTATTAATTTGTAATTCTCTAATAATGTATGATATTAAGCACTTTTTCATGCACTTATCATTTGTGTATTTTCTTTACTGAACTGTCAGTTCAGATGTTTTGCACACTTAAATCTGGTTGTTGCTTTTTTTTTTTTTTTGTACTGGGGATTGAACTTGGACCTTGTGCTTGCGAGGCAGGCACCAGCACCACTGAGCTAAATCTCCAGCCCCAGCTCCTTATTTTTTTGATTTTAACAATATTTTATATACCCAAATTATTTTAAAAATTTCTCTTGAGACTATTTCTTGACTCTTATTGGAAAGCGTACTGTTTAATCTGAAAATATCTGGGGACTTTTAGCTACCTTTGTATACCCTAACCTAACCTGGAACCCGGGGCGCAACCTGAGCTGAGTTCCCTGGTTTTCTATTTGCCTCATATATTCTATACCACGTTAAGGAGAACTCAGTAGCACTGATGAGAACAGCCAGGAAAACCTCCCCAAAAGCCTGCTCACTCCAGCCAAAGGACCAAGACAGAAAACTTACAGGCACACGATCACTTTACCCCAAACACCATGGGAAAGAACACTATACCATCACAAAGGCTGATGGGACCTGCACTCTTCCCCCACTCAAGTCTAACGAGGTGTCCCTGGTCCCCCTCACCGGCTGGGGTCAGAAAGGGTATAGTGGGAAGCCAGGACTTCCATCGGCATCCACAGGTGGCATCCACGCTGCCATCAGTGGTTCCCCTCAGGGAAGATCATAGGCCAGCAGCCAGGAGGTGCCTCTACCTCTGCGGGTATCATGGCTGATCAGGGACTTGGCCTTCCAGCCCCGCCTGGCAGTAGCGAGATGGCATCTCCCCTCCTCTGCTGTGGTCAAAGGAGGTTGCTAAACAGGAGATTTGAATAAGGCCCAGTCTCACAATGCCCAATAGGTCCAAGGCATTCAATCATTCATTCATTCATTCATTCATTCATTCATTTAGTGGTACCATGGATCAAACTCGGGACCTTGCCCTTGTGAGGGAGGCATGGCGACAATGAGCTACATCCCCGGCCCTATACTTTCAAAAAGTTACTTGTCCTGCCTGGAAAATCTCAAATGAGAAAACATAATGAACAGACCAACGTTGAAAAGACATAAGTCTTGGGGTTACCTATCAAGGGTTTTAAAGCAATAATGAGCACACTGAAATAAAAACATTTGAGCATCTCAAAAGAAGGAATGAAGGACCAAATGGAAGTTTTAGGACTGAACAATATAATAATTAGGAAAAAAACAAAAACAAAACCCTCACTGGAGGGGCTGGAGAGCACAATGGAAAGGATAGAGGAAATAATCAACCTGAACAACAGAGAGGGTGAAAAAAAAAGTCCAAAAACAGCAAGAGAATGTGAGGGGCCTGTGGGACTGTAACAGAACAGCTAACTAACATTCATATCACTGGAGTTCTAGAGGACAAGGAGAAAGAGAGTGGTCCTGAAAAAATATTAAAAGAAATAGTGGCTGAAATCTCCAATTTATCAAAAGAAACAAGCCTACATATTTTAGTATATGTGTTGCCAAGCCTAATATTAAAAAAGCAAACAAGATAAAAAATACACTCCAAGATACAACACAAACATTTGTAAGAAAAAAAAAATCTTGAAAGCTAGCAAGAGTTAACTCTACCTTACCTATATGCAAACATCAATCCAAACAACAGATTTCTCACCAGAAATCAGAGAAGCCAGAATAAAGTGGTAGTTTTCAAGCACTGAGAAAAAAATTGTAGAGATTAATCCTATTCTATAAGAATTCTACACACAGTGAAATTTTATAATCCAATTTTTTTCCTTCGGTTCTAAGGATCAAACTCAGGACCTTGGGATTGTGAGGCAGATGCAGTGCTATTGAGTTGAATCCCTGGCCCTATAATCCAGTTCTATACCCAACCAAACTGTCCTTCAGAAATGAAGGACAAATAACAATATTCCCAGATGGAGAAAAACGAAAAATATTTGTCTTTCACAGATCTAACCTAAAAGAAAGTTCTTATAACAGAGATGAGAAAAGAAGAAAAGCTGGAGCAGTAAGAGGGAGCAAGAATAACAAAAAGAGGAAAACTATGGATAAATACATTTTCCTTTCCCAAGGTGTTGTTTGACAGATGAAGGAAGAAGTTTAACACTGTCTAAACCAGGTGCGCTGGTGCATACCTCTAACCCCAGCTCTCTGAGAGGCTGAGGCAGGAGAATTGTATGTTTGAGCCCAGCCAGGGCAGTTTAGCCATAAAAACAAACATAGCGGGGCGTGGTGGCGCACACTGTAATCCCAGTACCGGGGAGGCTGAGGCAGGAGGATCGCTGTGTGTTCAAGACCAGCCTGGGCTACATAGTGAGTTCCAGGTCAGCCTCAACTACATAGTGAGACCCTGTCTCAAAAAACCAAAACAAACAAACAAACAAAACAAAAAACAACAAAAAAAATTGTGAAAGGCTGGGGACGTAGCTCAATATGTAGGCCTTGGGGTTAATCCCCAGTCACACTAACATATGCGCACACACACACACACAAAGTATATATAATGCTGTCTAATGTGGATCAAGGTCTGTATAGAATATTTAAGAAAACTAAATTGTAAATGAGGAAATGTAAAGGGATTTGGAGTGAACTAAATTTTCTACACTTCACACAAATTGGTAAAATGTTGACCCTGTATAAAGTTATACATGCATAACATCTACAGGTTTACTAAAAAGATACTAACCTCAAAAAATTTAGAAATATTATAGGTAAGTCAAAATGGAATTCTAAAAATGGCTCAAATAATAAACATAGAAATAGCAAACTAAAATCAAATGAGCAGACTTGAGCTCTAATATATCAACAAGTGAGCTAAGTATAAATACTCTAACAATACCAATTAAAAGGCAGTGTAGCCGGGCATGGTGGTACATTCCTGTAATCCCAGTACTTGGGAAGCTGAGGCAGGAGGATCGCTGTGAGTTCAAGCCCAGCCTGGACTACATAGTGAGTTCCAGGACAGTCTCAACTATATAGTGAGACCTATCTCAAAAAATCAACAACAACAAAAAAGGCAGTGTGGGGCAGGGGATTTAGTTCAGTGGTTCTGTCACCTGCCTCACAAGCCCAGGGTTCTGAGTCTGAACCAGTACAAAAGAAAAAAGGCAGTGTGAACAAAGAAGCACGATCAAACCATATGCAAGAGAACAATGCAGAGTGAAAATAAAACAAAAACCAAACCCACCTCCCAAATCCATCTCTCAAGCTCATGTAACAGATTCTTGCATTTATCTAAATTCCCAGGGCTGCCATACCAAAGTGCCGTAAGTGTGCTTGGAACAAGGCATTGATGGTCTCACAGTTCAGAGGTTAGAAGTCAGAAACTAAGCTGTGGGCAGGGCCATGCTCCCTCTGAAGGTCACTCCAGCTTCTGGTAGCTCTGACATTCCTCGGCCGCAGCATCTTCACTCCAGCTTTCACGTGTGCCCTGGGTGTCTTCACTAATCCTCCTCCTGTGCATGTGAGTCTCCCTAGCCATGCTGGATGACAGCCCACTCTACTGACCTTATTTCATCTTGATTATCTCTGTAAAGATCCTTTTTCCAAATAAGTTCACATTCTAAGGTCCTAGGAGTTAGGAATTCCATACACTTTTTTTTTTTTTAAAGCAAACACACAATGTTCCCAGACAAAGAAAAACAAGACCCCAAAAAAATCCATAACAATAACATTCTTTTTTGGGGGGGTACTGGGGATCAAACTCGGGACCTAACGCTTGCAAGGCAGGTGGCGGAACCACTGAGCTAAATTCCAGGCCCAACAATAACACTCAAAGTTGAAAAATCAATTAGTTTAGAGATAACTGGATATAAGAAGGTAAGGGCACAAAAGGATGGCATGAATGGTGTCTTTGTACTAAAAGCTCATTTCTGCAGATGATAATCTGCTCGTGATAAAAAGGCAGAGAAGCACGCACACATGTCGGACCAATGTCAAAGTGATGATTGGATATTGCGCTATAGCCACATAACAACCACTGTATGTGCAGGAGGAGGATACAGGGTCCTCCTACGAATCTTTACAACTTCCTGTGAATCTGTACTGAGACTAAAATTATAATGCCCATGGATATACTCACATTAAGACACATAAACTGTTTCAGAAGATAAAAAGATCCTACAAGCTTTGACAGAGTAGAAAATGAGATTCGTACAAAGGTTCAACACAACACAGATGACAGAACAATGTCTTCAAAATGAAAAGGAAATTAGAATTCTACATCTCAACTATCTACCAAGTGTGAGAATACAATAAAGATTATTTTCACACATATAAAGAGTGGGGGAGGAATGGAATTAAAGCATTTGAAGGGGGAGGGGAAGAGGGGGTGGAGGGAGGGTGGGTACAAGGGAAAAAATGAGAACCAAGACCTGGCATGTAAAGGTACTAGATCCCAATAATGAATGTAACTGTTCTGTCTACCTAGAATGTACCAATAAATTCAATTTTTAAAAAAGAGTGGGGGAGGGGTAGCCATTGACCTTTTTTTTTTTTTTTTTTTTTTGGTACCAGGTTTTGAACTCGAGCCCTTCTGCTTGCAAGGCAGGTGACAGAACCACTGAGCCAAACCCATGGCCCTGACCTTTTCTGAAAAAGGTACTAGAGGATGTGCTCCAGCAAAACCAAAGAGCAAATAAAGAGAAAGATAGAATCCAGAGAGAGATTCAACCAGAAGAGGGAACTCGGGATAAAAAGCAGCACTGAACCTGGTTGCTTCAATAGCTGGGCACTGCTACTGTACCAGGAAAGCCCACTGCTCCTGAAGCGAGGCTGGCAGCTCTGTTGGTAGAGCACTGTGGAGTGGGGGACACCTCAAACACGGTGGCACCTAGTCCCAGTGGCTCCCTGTGGATCCTAATTGGTAAAATGTGGATGGTGATGACATTTCTGACTTAGGGCCATCAGGAGAATCAGAGATGACAGCGAGGGGCAGCAGGTGGGTGCTCTTCATGCAGATGGTCCAGCTCCTTACCTCTAGCTCCTGAATAGGCACCGGTTGTGATGGAAGACAGGAAGCACACTCGATCTTTATGGTCATGGGGTTCAAGTCCTGTTTTTGCTCCTCTGTCATGATAGGAACTTCTGTTTTTAAGGTCAAAAGGCAATCTAAAATATTGGCGGACTTCTCACTGCCACGGCTCATGACAGCTTGCTGTCCTGTTGGGGAAGGCACAGCATTAGACCTGTACTCATGGCCACCCCAGATAGGCACAGAGGAGCAAAGTAACCAGAGACAAGCTCACGATAGTACCTTAAGCAAAAAGAAAAAAAGAAATCAGGAAACCCATAGCCAGGATATTTATGTAGTTTCTCAAACCGAAATCCCATCAATTCTCTAAGAGAATCACATTTTTGTCATCAAAACTTAATGGTCATCTTTTAAGAAGTTGTATTACGTATTTCCTGAATCTTCCAGAGTATAATATGGAATGCTGATGTGTGGGGGTTACCTCACACTCCGACATGACTGGTTTGGGGTACAGTCTCCACACCTATGCCATCCACTGTGGTAGCTACTGGCCATTTGTGGCTACTAGAATTTGATTAGAATGATGTAAGATTTGAAACGCAGTTCCTTCTCCACACTTGCCACATTCCCAATGCCAATGACCCCATGTGGCCCTGGGACAACTCATTAGACAAGGGGCCTGGCTCTCCCAGGGGTACAGCTGCTGCAGGCAGGTACCACAGAACAGAATACCATCAAGAGCAAATACCGTGCAGGTGTGGTAGTGCACACCTGGAATCTAGCTACTTGGGAGGCTGAGGCAGGAGGATCGCAAGTTAGACTGGACAACCTGGCGAGACTCCTGTCTCAAAATATTTTTTACGAAAAGGCTGGGGATGTAGTTTAGTGCACCTGGGTTCAATCCCCAGCATCAGCATCACACACACACACACACACACACACACACACACGGCAAATAATACATAGATATTCAAGCAAAAAGTAAGTGGCGTGTATGAGCCAAAGCACACACGTCCCAACTCCCACTATGACGGTGCTGCAATAGTTTCAACTGGGAAAATAAAACACAGGTGAGCTGAGGCACTGCAAGGTGTAGGAGGCCAAGAGGACTTTTCTTACAAAAACGGTGCCCATATTACCCAGTCAGAGACATACCGAGGTAGGCAAAAATAAAACAAAATAAAATAAACGCAATCCGTGATATAAAATAACAAAAATAAAGTGAAACAGCTTAAGTTTTAGAGGCAGAGAGATGTGAGTTCCAATCCCAAATCTGGCTGTCCATCGTCTGACAAGCTAGAGTCTCTTGAGGCTCAGTTTCCTTTCGGGCAAGGGGCGAAAGTGACGCGACCCACGGACAAGGGTGCCGCCCCACACGGCGCACGCTCAGGAAAGACCAGGTCTGTTCCTTCCCTGAAGCACCTGCAAATTTAATTCCAGGGAGCATAAAAGCCAAGTTGCTCATGTGCAGAGATGGGAAGGAGACCTGGGGGTGCGGGGAGAGGGAAGGGAAGGGAAGGGAGAAATAAAAAGAACCGTATGCCACATGAATTTGTACCAAGTCCCCCACGATGACAGCATTAAGTATCAAAAACATGAACCGACAAAGACATACAGCGAAAGTTATGAGCGATGCCTGAGGTTTAATCCCCATCACCAAACAGATAAGTAGTTATGGGAAGTCCATAGGGTGGAATATAATGCAACTAATTCAAGAAAAGGAAAAGAGTCGCTCTGTGTCAGACAAGTTGTGGGCCACAGTGATGCAGCGTCCGGCTCCTGCGTGACTCCTGCATGGAGCAAATGAAGGGGACAACTAATTAGGATTTGTGTCCTACCACTTCTTCAGCCTTTTTTGTGGGTGGTACCGGGGATTGAACTCGGGTCCTTGGGCTTGCGAGGCAGGTGGCAAAACCACTGAGCTAAATCCCCGGCCTGATTGTTCAGCCTCTTCACAGAAGACACCGCCCAAGGCAGAAGCAAAATCCACACACATGTGAACCCGAATACGCCCTCGATGACCCAGAGGTGTCAGCCACGAATCCAGCCCAGTGCCCTTGACCTTTGGGACAGCTTGTTCTTTCTAGAGGCGACTGGTCTTTGCATTGTGGGATGTTCAGCAGAATCACACTAAGCAATGATTGGTACAAGAAAAGAAAAAAGCTGTAAAAAGCATGTGGCCTAATTGGAAGCTGGAGATGTTTACCAAAAATAATTATGCTTTGGAACAGATAATCCTGTGCTGTTGTTTCTGAAAAAGCAGGCACACAGATGGCCCTCGGAGTCCCAGCTGTTCCAGTTCATGACCATGCACCACAGCATGGCTACAAAGCAGCAAACATCTTCCCATCTTCCTTGCTGAAGGCCCAGCACCCTGCATCGGTACCCAGCCCGGAGAAGCAGCTGCCACCTCCACACTGGCCACCCCTCAGGGTCCTACTGTGCGCAAAGATTTGTGCTAAACTGCTGACACCATGCCCACCCCTGGGCATTGAGACCGAGGGGGGAACTGTCAACCCCACTTCATGAAAGCAGTAACAGGCTGTACGCATCTGAGCCAGGATGAGAAGTCCACTTGTCACCAAAGCTCTTGCTTTAACTGCCATGTGGCACCTCCACGGCAGGACAGGCTACAGAAAGGGGAGGCACGGCCCCCGCGTGGTGGCTTCACCTCAGGGACTGTCATGTCCTACAGGCCAAGGCAACTTGAGCATCTCCTTCTCTCCCAGAAAAACAAGAGAGCCAAGTCTGCCCAGTTCCAAAGGGCGGTCACACGAGTGTCCCACTGGAGGTCACGACTGCCCTGCGGGACTCAAGGACTCAGGCAGCATTTGCTTTGGGCACAGGGGCCGGACAGGCTCTGGAGCTACTCACACTGACCCAGGTTCTCCTCTAGCAGAGATCGAGAAGCTACAACACAGGTGTGTTTGGTTTCTAAACCTCAAGTAAAAATCCAAATTAAGGTGGAGATGGGGCTCAATGACAGAGAAGCCCCTGGGTTCAAGCCTCAACTCTGGGGAGGAAAAACACCCCTAAAAGGTTAATATTTCCCTAAAGTATAATAACATCACCCCAAGAGCTATGAGGGCAATGACTGTCCTGACAGCTCTGGGCTTTAATCTGATGAGGTTTTGCTTTTTGTAATTGTGTGGGGTGGTTTTATCTCAGCAAAGACCCTGCAGGACAGCTGGTACAGGGCTTAAACTTTCTCTTAAAGAGAGGAGTAGTGGGGAGAAAGAGGAAGAAAGGGAAAAGAAGGGCGAGGAGGAACTGGAGGACGCAGAGGAGAAGGTAGAATAAGAGGAAGAAGGATGTAGTGCCAAGTGCCTGTAATTTCATCTACTTGGGAGGCTGAGGAAGGAGGATCTCAAGCTTGAGGCCAGCCTGAGCTACTTGGTGAGACTGTCTCCAGCTCAAATTTTAAAAGCGCTAGGTATGGAGCTCAGCAGTAAAATTCCTTGGATTCAATCCCTAGTATTGTCACAAGGAAAGACCAATAGTAGCCCCTTTCCTAATTACCTCCTTAAAAAACAAAGTCACATAATTTTATCCAAAATACATTCTAAGCATTCCATAATCAAAATATACGAATGTAAATAAATATATATCTTTATTATAATGTAGAAAGCCCAGCTTATAAATTGTGATGAATCTTTGTGTGTAGGTGTAAGTCTTTAAAAAAAAAAAAACACACACACACACAAAAGAATCAAATTCTTGTTCTGCCCACGCTGTATGGCCCTGAAGAAGTCACTTGACCTGCGTGTTTCTTTTTCCTCACTGAAAAAGATGCTACCAATGGCAGCTACTCTGCCAGCAGCACCACAGGGTCATTGAGAGGGCGACTTTGTCATGAGAAGCAATGCGAGACATTGAACGTGCTGGCATCTAATACACACTCACGAAAAACTGGTTCCTTTTCCCATTCTTTTCACTAAATGTCTCTGTAAAAACCATTTACAAAGAGCGGCATCTTAATTAGCAAAAAAGATCATGATATTCATTATTCTCACAGGTTTCTTTGGACTTTGGAATTGAACCTGTGTTCAAAGTCGGGCTTCACACTTCCTAGCTGTGTGAACTTGGACAATGTACTGAACCTCTCTGGGCCTGTTTCCTCCTCTGTACAGTGCAGACATTTACCCCCACTTTCCTGGGGAGGGGTGACGCTGAAATGAACGATACAGGGCAGGGGCTCGGTTACCATGTGGGACCCACGTGTGGAATTCTAGACACACGTGACAAGACAACACCTGTTGGGAATGAGGTTAGCTACCTGCAAGGAGTGGTGTCACTGCCAGTTGGATGCAGAGGGCACTTTGCCCCCAGCAGCCCGACACCATACTGCCTCTGTCCTTTATGGCTGAAGGCTTCTTCATTCTCTTGTGGCTTTTCTTTTTGATTTCAAAATCTCTTCCTTTAACTGTGACATCAAAGAAAGGAAAGAAATGTTAAGCAGTCATATTGAGCTGCCATATGTATGTGAATGCATGGATGGACACGGGGATGGACACACACACACACACACACACACACACACGTGTGCTACAGAGGTTCTGGAAGATTCCAGAAGCTTGTGAAGGCAAGGCTTGGCCTTTGTCCTGGTGCCTAGGGGTGGCTACATACGGAGGGCAGAGAAGCTGCTAGTTCTACACAGGACTGGAGGAGGGGTTCCCTCACCCTCACAGTTGCTACCAGAGAACAGGCAGAAAGGCTTGAGGTCGCTGTGACACACGTTGTACGCTGCACACAAAGGTCCCTTCCACGCAGCTCTCAAACACAAGTGAGGCAGAGGTTTGGGCTTTGGAGTTGAGCCCAACTCCTGACCAGTGGCCAAGTGAGACAGTGTGACCTACTGCTTCAGTGGCCTGAAGATGAGGGGATGGACCCCAGTGTGCACAAGCCCGTGGGAGGGGCAGAGTCACCTGGACTGTGCATTCCTAGCAGGCAAAACTAGCAGGCTATACTGTGCAGCCAGACTAGAGGAGGCAAACAAAACCTCCAAAATCCTTTGACAAACACCTAGGAAACTGCAAGGTGGGCAAGGATCACTGAGCCCAACTTGAGCTCCTGATGCCTCATGAGGGTGAGCGGTGTTTCATAGATGCCTTGGCACCGGTGATCGAACTCAGGACCTTGTGCTTGCAAGGCAGGCAGTGGAATCACTGAGCTAAATCCCGGCCCTGGGTCCACTCTTAAGTGATCTGCCTATTTGAGTTTCTTTGCTAATTTTTCTGTTGGTTTTAAAATTCTGTTTTGCTCTGCTGGGCTTCATTTTTACACCTGTGGATAATGATCCACTGCTAGTTCTGTGCCCATCACAACTGTCCCATGCAGGGCCCTCTAGCTTTTCCTTTGACTTTCAGTGTCTTGTTTTGCATGCTCCTTGCTGGCTCATGCCTGTGACTAAGATAATGTGTTTCTGCATGAGCAGGTCCCATGATATTGGATGCTATGTCCTTTGCCAGAAACAAATGGTTTCTTATTTTTCAAGGCAAGTCATTCCACAAACCCTACTCTTTAATGCTTCCTGACATACCATGTACCCAATCTATTTAGGAGTTTTTCATCTTCAGTAGTGTGGACAGAATAGTCATTTCAAAAAAAAAAAAGCAATAAACATTCAGAGCTCTAAAAACCAAAAATCAAAGATCTCCAGGGACCAGCAACCCATGAGGACCTGCAGCAGAGACCAGGATCTGATAGAGCCCTATCTATCTATGATGTTCAGCACAAGTCAGTGTCAGATGATGATGGCCAGCAGCGACAAGGAACAGCAGCTGGCTGGGTCAGCGGATGGCTTCCAGCATTAGCTGGTGTCATCAGAACTTCTGGCAGAGCTGCACTTTGCCAATTCATGATTTCCACCTGAATTGAGCAGAAGAACCCTTGGCTGATTGGTAACAGACCTATCCTAGCACTGCATCTATCACATACAACTGTAATTCTTTATTTGGAGTTGGCATTAGACATTAAAGATTTTCACGTCCCTAAGGGCACCACGCATGGATTAGGAACACGAAAACACTGGTGGAGCGGGATGGGATGGGACAGACAAAGTGGATGAATGGGATGCTGAGGGTGTGTGAACAGAAGATGAAAGAGATGGACGTGCGGATGGGTAGATAAACGGCTAAGTGATGGGGTGGGTAAGGGGATGAGTGGCTGGCTGGATGCTGAGATGCTATGAAGACAGACAGCTGGATGGGTGGATGGATTCAGAGGTGGACAGGCATGAGGAGGGACAGACGGGGACTGGTACGTGGATGGAGGGCAGGCGGATATACGGATAGGTGAATGAATAGGGCAGATGGATGGATGATATGGAGATGGATAGACAGGTGCATGGGGACATGACGCATAGATGGTGACAATTAGATTGGGAAATTGAAAGTGTGTAAAAGACGGCAACTATCATCTGGTTAGATATCCAAACATCACAGTGCAGTATCCTGAATTTGAAATATTTCATCATTTTCCAAGTCTAGTTATAAAATTTCAAAATCCCATCCTAACTTACTTTGAGACCTTGGTCTTTCTAATGTGTTTAAGCTGCTAAATGATGTTCTGTCGATTAATTCCTTGATCTCCATCATGGTTGTCCCCATAAAAGACGTAGGTGATGCTCTTGAAGTACTTTGTCAAGAAAATCCACAAAGAGAAAATTAAATAAAGATTAAAAAAAAAATCAGAGGCCAGATCTGAGAGTCCATTAACTGAACTAAATAAGAGCTTAAAAAGGGCATTGTATTCCTCTAACCCAAGACTTCTCAAATTTCCACATGCACATGAATCAAGGGCTCAAGTTCAGGAAGCCTGAGATTCTGTATTTCTAATAATCTCCCTGGCAACGCTAAAATCATTGGTCTATAGACCACATTTGTACCATCAAGGTTCAAACCAATTAGAAAACTGAATGGAAATCAGTTTGGTCTTATAAAAATACTAAAGCTATAAAACATCTAGGAACTCACAAGAATTACCCACAGCAGCTATAGAAAAAAATTTAACACCAATAAAGAATACAAAGGAAGGTCTGAAATAAGGGAAAGAGTCATGACCACAGTTGATGTAACCTAACAGTGGAAAAAAGGTCGATTCTTATCAAATTAATTTATAAATTCAATGCAAAAACAATTTTAAAAAGTCAAGACTGTTCACTGGGCATGTGGCCTATGCCTGTAGTCCCAGCTATTTGGGAGGCTGAGACAGGAGGATGGCTGGATCCCAGACTGCAATATGAGACCCCATTTTTTTGAAAATTAAGATTGTACAAATGGCATGTGCTCTTGGTTCTTCTTATTGCATCTCTCAAACCAGAATCCAGGCTTCCATACGCCCCTAGTCCCCACAGCATTAAAGGAACCCCTTTTCCAGACCCTTCTTAGGCCACAAGAGGCCCTAAAAAGTAATGAGCCCACTCAGGTAAGGCCAGACGCGGGAGTCTGCAGGTCTAGTTTGAAATTCTGGCTTAACCAAAAATTCTACTTTGATGATCTTGCACTATCAGAGACCTCTGCAGTAGGTTCTGATCTCCTGCTTGGAGCTATGGTGCAAGCCTGGGGGAGGGGACTAAAAGACAAAATTAAGACAAACCAGGGAGCCAGGATGGCCAATGTTGCTTAATTAGCAAAGGCACTGGTCCATCCAAGCCTCTCATTTCTATTCGTCATCAACTGGGCTACAGGTGAGCTATGTGCAAGGGTGGGACTGCATATAAAGATGTGCAGTCCTGTGGTTTCTATAGAAATGAAGACAGACAAAGCATTTTCAAATAGGAGCAGAACAGACAAAATATAGGGTTGTAATTAGAATCTTGTCCTTCTATTAAAAAGGTTTTTGTTGTGGGAATGGAATTTGGGTGCGAGTTACTCTGACCTCGGCACGTAGGCTTTGGCCAGACTCACTTCTATAAAGAAGCCAATTGTGGAGTTCACTCTACAGCCTGCACTGATTGGTAATCAATATTGTGGACCCTGCACTGCCCAAATCATCAAACCTCCCAGTCACCTTGCGTAGAAGATGGAGAGATACGGCTGGGGATTTAGCTCAGCAGTTCGCTGCATGCCTTGCAAGCGCAAGGACCTGAGTTCGATCCCCGATACAAAAAAAAAAAAAAAAAAAAAAAAAAAAGAAGATGGAGAGAGAGAGAAGGGCCGGGGATTTAGCTCAGTGCTTCTGCCACCTGCCTCACAAATGCAAGATCCCAAGTTCAATGCCCAGTACGGGGGGCAGGGAGGAGAAAGAAAATGGAGAGTAGTGCCACCTCGGAAAATGACCATGAGGACCAAATGAGAGAAAACGCTGCACACAGAACACATGGCGCCTCAGGTATGCGCTCAGACACAAGCTTCCCTTTCTTGTCTTGTGCCTTTAATTTCGTTTGTCCTCCACATTTGGCCAGAATTACTACACAGTGTACATGACTCACGGCGGCGCAAGGGCAAGAGGGGCTACACTCCTATCCCCCAGAGTAACGAGGCTCCGTCCTTACCGAAATGTGGGAAGATCATCTGCTTTGAGTGGCTTTTCGTACTCCTTGCTGTTCCTGGAAGAAGTTTCAAGCTCTGCTTGATGAGAACCAGACGATGTTAGCAAACGTCATAAAACCTGTTCCATCCTGGCTGACTAGGTAAGGAGGGGCCCTGACACATTCCTGTGATGCCGGTCTGCAGGCAGAGCCCTTGGGGCGTGGGAAGCATTTAGTAAACAGGGTCTGTTAATTGTAACTGAGCAAATAAATGAGAACTGGAAGGAACCAAGTGAATTCTAAATGTTCGGACAAATGGAGGCAAGAGGAAGCCTCTTACGCCCACAGAGGAAAAAAAAAAAGGAAAAAGTCAATTGGACACTGAACTGTCCACTTCAGCACTGCCTATATGACAGAATACTGAAAATGTTCCTAAGACTCCCAAGTTCCCAACTGTAGGGAATAGTTAAGCAAGCTCCAGTCCTATCCGCAGATGAAATCCAACGTAATTCTCACAAATCAAGTTTATGGAAAGTGTTTAAGGAAACAGGGAAATACATGTGATCACTTATTTACAATCTCAGAACACAGGAGCACTGAACACACCCAAGATAACCTTGTCCATATATATATATATACATATATACATATAAACCCTAGAACCCAAACAAAGATGTGTGCTATATGTAAACCATAAACCAAAGTGTTACACTGATTGCAGTTAATAATGGATTATTGAGTTCTTTCCTCTGCTTTTATACTTTTTTTCTTCACTGGATTTTCTTAAACCCTACACATATAACTTCTAGAGTCAGAGTGGCTTCTTTGTAAGCCCCCAAATAAGTGAAACTAAAGAAAAAGAATCAAAAACAAAGTGCACCCTTCAGGGAGTGCAGCAGGTGACCCCCTCCCTAGCAGCCGGGCCGACACACAGAAGAGGCTCCACTGCACAGCCCGGCACCTTGGCCCTGCTCCCCACTCCCTCCCCCGGGGCTTTGCCACACGCAGCTTGTCCATACAGCCATCTCTACTCACCTGGAAGAGACTTCAGACCTTTTTCTGCCTTTTCTTGTTTTTCCAGCAGAGACGCCTCATTCCGCCCCTCCCTGAGAACGTTAGCTTTCTCCAGGGCTAGTTCAGATAATTCTCTCTGATTTAAAACCAGATGTCTCACTTCCTCTAGGATGCAGAAGATAGATTATTGATTCAATTGATTAGATTTATTGAATGCTATGTGGGGCAATCACTTGCTTCTGCAAAGACACAGATCAATGGGTAAGACAGATTAAGGTCCCTGCCCTGATGGAGTTGTAGCACATGAAATGGTCCTGAAATACTGGGGGACTCAACAGAGCAACCACACGGGGCTCAGACCTCAACTGTCAATGGCTCTCCCAAAGAAGATGATTCAGCACCTGCTGCGTGTTGTATGGAATCACGGCATTTCCCTTCAAGGGAAGTAACACCATCCCCCCGTTTTACAGATGAAGACTCTGAGACTTCAGTAACTTTCCTGTGGTCAGAGAACTGGTCCTTAGCAAAGCTAGGGCTACACACAGAGGTCCTTGTCTCTAGCTAGGGGTTCACGCAGGCTGCTCTTTGCTACATCCCCAGTCCCTTTTTATTTTGAGACAGGGTCTCGCTAAGTTGTGAACCTGCCCAGACTGGGCTCAAACTTGTGACCCTCTTGCCTCAGCCACTCGGGTGCTGGAATTATAGGTGTGCACCACCATACTCAACTAGCCAAGGGCGATTTGGGCCCCCAAGGGACATCTGGAAATGTATGAAGGAATTTCCGCTGCTCATACCAGGAAGCTACCACTGGAATCTGGCTCTCTGGTGTCCTTTCTCTCCTTGAGAGTCTGTAGCCCGCTAGGACCTGCTCTAGCTCAGTAGGTCTCAACCTTTTCAGAATTAAAAACTGGTGTAAGGTTGTCTGTTTCTTCTGTTTCTGTCTTTTATTTATTTATTTATTTATTTATTTTTGGTACCAGGGATCAAACTCAGGACCCTGCACTTCCAAGTCAGGTGGCGGCACCACCAAGCTAAATCCCCAGCCAGCTTCTGTCTTTTCTTTATTGCTGTTCTGTAGTTTGACATGAAAAGGTCATTAAACAAGTGAACGCAATGATTGGCTTTTTCTCTGAGTGGGTCTTTTCTACAAACTACTTTTTAAATGTAGCTCTGTCCATTTTTTCAGCATCTCCTTTATTTCAAAAGAACAACTTTGCGGCACTGATGGTTGATACTCCCAGTCCTGTTCAGAAAGCTCCTCGGCTGCCATTCCCCATTGTTCAGCCAGAAGCTGCTGAGGTTCCTCTGTAGACAACTCCTCTGAGTGTTCCTAACCCAGTTCCTCAGCATCACCACTGTCTACCTGCAAGCCTGTGGACCGTGCTACAGCAACAACGTCAATCACAGGGTCAACTGAAGGCTCTGGCTCCTCTACACAGCCTTCAGTCTCCCTCCTGTATGATTTTAGGTCACACTTTCTTCAGGGAGATCTCAGTGTCCTTACAGAGACACTGGCCCAGGATTTCTCAATTAACCCCACACAGCAAAGACTAGCACTTGGGTCATAACTCGAGACTTTGGTTGTAAGTTAACACTAAAAGTCCAGTTGTAACCCAAGTTGTTCATATGGGAGGCCGGTGGTAACTTGAGGGTCCACTGTCCTAGAGGAGAGAGGCCAGCGGTGCGTGCCCATGACAGAGCTGCTATCTGTGACAAGAGGTCTTGAACAGTGGCTTTAATCACCGCCCGCCAATACCATAACTGGCCTGGAGGCAGGGGCTATTTCCTGACACCTCAAGCGTGTCCTGGAGGAATGTCATGCCACCAGATCAGAAACCAGCGCGTACATCATGTAAATTAGATGACGGATGCAAAGGGACACTGGCTTTGATTCTGACACTACAGGTTCAGTTTCCCTACTCTGAAGTTTGGGATTTAGGATTTTTCTCAGATTTTGGAATATCTGCACTTACAAATTGGGATACTTGGGAGATGAGTATGAGTACATTAGAATCTTTAATGTCACATATACCCCTTATATACATAGCTGGAAGGTTATTTTATACAGTAGTTCCAGGGTACCTGAGTTGTGACTGTGGCCTATCCCATCAGGTCATGTGGTGACTTCTACTTGTGGGGTTATGTGGGTGCTCAAAAAGTTTCAAGTTTTGGAGCATTTCAAACTGCGGATTTCTGATTTGGGGTGATCACTCTGCGGTGAGAAACATTTCAAATAAAACCAAGATAAAGCAAAAAACCTACAACAGACCAAAACCTACGACGTACCTAATGAGCCCAGGTCATCCGAGAGAGTCTTCAGTGGATGACAGTACTGGAATTTTTTTGAAATCTTGTCCTTGGTGTCCCAGATCCTCAAGATGATTTTGTGGAAATTCAGTTTCTTTAATAATTCCTTTGTCACGTTGACATTGAAGGTCTGGCTCCATGACACCCAGAGTTTGTCATCTTCACACCATGGCCTCACAGTCTGTACAGAACAACACACAGAGACTTCACCTGTGGAAAGACGGGCGCGGGAGCAGTGGGCAGAGCGGGACATCGCCCATCACACTGGCTCCTCACTGCTGCCCTCCACCTGCCTCTCGCCTGCTCCAAACCCAGGGCAGGAAATGGAGCGGTGTGCACCGGCCTCCGCCAGACTCTGGGTTCCTCAGAAAAAAACACGTAACATCAAAGCAGAGAACCACTTCGCGTCCTCTGTGATTACTTCTGACTTGCATGTGCACTCAGGCACACACAAAGGAAAGGAAGTTTAAGAGCTGCCACAGCTTTTGAGATACTCAGGAAATTACTGATTGAAAGTATCTAAAGAAAAAGCCATGTGCTCGGTACTCTTAGGTCAGGGCAGATTCTCACTCAGGAGGCCTGGAGTGGACCCAGAATGCGCAGGTCGGGACACTTACAGTCACTGCAGGTTGAGGTGGAGCCCACTGCGTGCTCAACACCATGCTGCGTGCAAGGCCATGCGCGCACACACACACACACACACACACACACGCGTGCACACACGCACCCCACACACCTTTATTCCCGATTCCAGGAACACCCTGGCCAGTCCTGGAAACACCACCACATCGACTTTTTTAGGTTCTTCATCATCTGGCAGGAAGAAATACTCAATGTGGTAGAAACGGCGAAGCTTTGCCATATGGTTGTGCGATTTAGGGGGTTTCCTGTATTTATCAATAAGACTTGTGTGTTTTCCTTTATGATCTAGAAGATAGAGAGAACCTTGTTGTAATTTTCTGTGGAAAAACAGATGTTTTTCCAAGAGAGTGCAGTGGTTTGGATGTGTCCTAATGGCCTGTGTTGAAGGTTTGGTGCCCAGCCTGAGGCCTTGTCATGAGGTTGTAGAAGTTTTAAGAGGTGGGCCCAGGTGGAGGAAATGTGGTCACTGGGTGCGTGGCCTTGAAGGGACACTAGGACCCTGCCCCTCGTCTCTGTCTGCCTCTAGGCTGACAAGAGATAAGCAGTTTCCTTTGCTCAGTGCTCCCAGAATGATGTTCAGGCTCACCGTAGCCCCAAATCAACACAGTCAAGTGACCATGGACTGGGACTTCTGAAACCGTGAGCTTACACAAACCATGAGCTTTCCTCCTTATAAGTTGTGTATCTCAGGTATTCCGTCACAAGTGCCAGAAGCCTCTCATTTTCCATCAATGGAAAGGCAGAGCAATTTGACAATATATATCCAAAAAACTTTTTAAGTGCACACTTTCAACCCAGAAATTCTACTTTTTAGCATTCATAATATAGAAGTGCCCACATGTACATATGCACAAAGATGCCTACTACAGTATGGTAATAGAAAATACTGAAAGCAATTTAAATGTCCACCAATAAGAGGTGGGATGGGGTGGGGGTGCAGCTTAAGGGCAGGGGTCCTGCGTAAACACGTAAAGTCCTCAGTTCCAGCTCCATCCCATCAACAAAAGTAAACAAATAATAAAAAAATAAGAGGGCTGAGGATTTAGCTGAGTGGTTCTGCTACCTGCCTTGAAAGCCCAAGTTCCTGAGTTCGATCACCGGAACAAAAAACAAAACAAACAAACAACAAACAAAAAAACAAGGGGTAAGATAAATTAGAAGCATACAATGGAATATTATATGTGTTTAAAATAAAACAATATAAGCATGTGCTCATCATCTCTAAGATATCTCAAATGTTACAATTTTAAAAAGCAAGTCGTAAAGTATCTAGGATCCATTTATCTTAAATGATTTATATATTTATAGAGATCTCTATAAACACTTACGTATTGAAGGAAAAAACAATGGGCCTACAATTTTATGTCCAGATAAAGGTATGTCAAAGTTTCAGGACATTTGGAAGATCTATTCTGCAAATACCTTTAGTGAAAGCATCAAAATCAGAAAATTAAGGGCTGGGAATTAGCTCAGGGGTCCCACAACTGCCTTGAAAGTGCAAGGTTCTGAGTTCGATCCCCAGTGGCACAAAAGAAATCAAGCCGGTGAGACTGTGCAAAGGGATAGTACGTTAAAGGTGGCCAAGTGCCAAGTTTCTTTTGCCTGGTATCTGTCAGATACCTCATTCCAGGCTCTTTTGCTTGATAACAATAGGTTCAAGATAAAAGCACCACGACTGAATGAGACAGACACCACCAAACAATGACAAAAAAGCTTAATTCACTGAGACGGAGCAATTGGAAATACGCTATCTATCTAGCCAGACAGCCTCCAAAATATCCAAGGCAATGAGACAGCACTATGAAGAGCAGCTGAAATCAATTATCACAGTGGCATAATTAAGTAGACCAAATAACAGAAAAAGAAAATGCATCAAGTTCTAGCAAGAAGAAAAGCATTTTTTTTTCTGTCCCTTGCATTGATCTATGTAACTTGCTTTGACCAAGAAAATGTCAGGAACCGAGACTGGAAGAGTTCTTGCGGCACTGGGCTGACCCCGTTGTGTGTGGCTGTCTTTGCAGGCCCAGCTGGCACAGCAGAATACCTGTCCCTGGGGATGGAACCCCAAAGCCTGCACTTCTAGGGAACAGCGGGTTCCTGTGCGCAGTGGCTCAGTTTGAGGGCTCTTACACAGCATTTTGTGGCAGTTGTTAATAGATACAGCTTTACACTCAAAGGTGTGTGTGTGTTGAGACAGGGTCTTGTTTCGTCGTACAGGCCAGCCTTGAACTCCTAGCAATGCTCCTGCCTCAGCCTCCTCAGGGCTGGGATTACAGGTGTGTGCCATCACACCTGGTTTACACTCAGATTTTGATTCAAAAGATCTGAGATGTGTTTTAAGTGATTTACAACCAGCTTATGGGCATCAGCGCTTTAACACATTCCCAACAGCTTGAGTCCCTCGTGGTATGTGTGTGACTATCCCGATGGTGGTTCACAGCGGTCTGGGACCAAGAACACATGCATTGCAGCGTCGTTGTGAATGTGTTTACCTTTCTCTGGTTTCTTCATCTGTAAAAAGCAACAAATCACCACTCACTCTTCAGGGTCTTTGAGAGGGTTAAGTATCAGAAACCCACACAGCCACTTATGCGCTGGGCCCCCTAAACTTTCTGACCATGGACCCCAGAATGGGAGGAGGGAAAGGAAAGACACACGACATGTGCGCCCTACACTTCTAAGAAAGGTCAGCAGTGCACCCCCTTTCGGGGCGGGTACTAGAACCTCCTTTAGTGCCTACCTGTGTTCGCAGGAAGGGCCAGAGAGATAATGAGGTCGCAGGGGACGACCCGGGGCACGTCGGGGTCGAAGGTGCTGGCATCGAAGGACTCGATACTGCTGTTGGGGTTCTCGAAGTCGGGCTCGTGGGCCGGAGCCCTCAGATAGTCCTCGGCATCAGACTCAAAGCGGTAAAAACTAGGGTAAGAGGAGGCCGGCCCGTTGCTTTCGCTGTCCTCATCCTCCCAATCCCAGGCGTGCAGAGACATGGCTGAGAGAAAACAGAGTCTGAGTCACCGCTGTCCCCAGGAGCTGAGCCCTACCTCTTGCAGGATGACCCACCCTTCTCTCATCTTGCTCCAGGGCTGCCCAAGTTCTGATCAATGCCTGATGCACAGCCAGCACTCCAGAAATCTGGAGAAAAAATTAACGGAAGGAAACACAGAGAAGGGCAGCTGGCAATCATTGGAGGATGAGGGGGTGGGTCCAGCAGCTTCTCTTGCCCCGAATCAGGAGTCCGTCGTTGGGCGCGTCCGGATCACCTGGCCAGGTGAGCGCGGTTCTCCGGTAATCACGAGAGGGCAGGGAGGGTGGAGAATCCGCCGTGCACCCCGGCTGAGGGAGGACTGCCACAGTCCAGGTGAGCTGCACCAAAGCACGCTGGGCGGGGAGAGCCTTGTGGGTCCCTGGCGAGGTCAAGGAGGGCGAGACTCCCCCAAGGCAAGACGTGAACCGTCACTGGGTCCTGTGCTGGGACACAAGCTCAAGTTCTGTGGAGCGGGAATCCCGGGCTACCGCAGGAAAGGAAGACTGGGTTGGAGGTGGCGACGCGGGTAAAAAGAGATGCCAGACTTGCCCCTCGGCGTGGAGACCGGGAATCCCAAAGGCGCACCGGGTACCTGCGAGCGGGGGCGCAGGGCAGCAGACCGCGGAGTAAGCAGCCGCCGCGTAAACGCCGTGCGCACGCGCACAAAGAGCCTCGTAGCTTTGTTTCCCAGTTGCTAGGAGACAGGTAGCATGGGGGAGGGGGTCGCCAAAGGTAGGACTTCCTGCCTTGGCCTAGGTGCACAGACAGTTCGGTGGCAAAGTGCTTTCCCAGCAGGAGTGAAGCCCTCAGTTTGATCTCAAACACAAAACAAAAAACAAAACACCCCCCCCCAACGCTTCAGAAGCCCAGTTGCCTTCCTTCAATCTGTATTACGCCCCTCACTGTTATTCACAGAACAAGAACAGAGGAAAGAGCTTTACGGGCTCCTCTCTCCCCTTCTTTAATAAAGGCAAAGCAGCGATAAGCTTTGCACGCTCAGACCCCAACCTCTCGTTAGATTTTATGCTCTCGTTGCTGAGGCCATGACAGTATCATCAGGATTCCTTTTCGTGAGTGATCCTGTGCCCTAATTCCCAGACGAGGAAACAGAGAGGTGAAGCAATTAGCCCAAGGCCACATAGCAAGTGAAGTGTGATGGAAAGATAAGATATTTAAATTAAAAATTATTACAGTAAAGAGATGCTTCCATTAATCCTCCAGAATACTCCTGCTCTCTTTGCACGTGATGACCCCATCGATCTTGCCACTTTTTGAGCCAGGTCTGGAAGTTCTCTTTCCTGAGTGTGATCAAAAATACCATGAATGCTGCTGTTGCGTGTCATCCAACCAGAAGTCAGCCTCATAAAAACATGACAGTGTGTCCTCCCCGACCTTACCATCCCGTACCGTGTGACTTCTGGCTCTTCCTCATAGTCAAAATGACCATGAAAGGGAATGAATTCAGGACGGAGGCAGCCGCAACAGCACGGATAGAGGCGCTCACGAAAGACCACAGGTGTGTGGGAGAGCACATGGGGCCCAGGCGGAGGGGAAGCTGGGAAGCCGTGGTACAGCTAAGCTCACAGACCTTCCAGGGCATCTGGACCAGGGGACAAGGCCAGCTTGTTCTTGAATGGTACTGCATGCTGCCAGGGCCTCTCCAGTACACCTCGGCTTCAGTCAGTCTAACAGATGGTGCCTCCAAAGTAACGGTGAGGGCAGGGCCTCCCCTGCTGACCCAAGCCTGGTTTCCCTTCAAAGAGTCCTCGAGCAGCCAAACTCTGCCCAAGCTCAGGGGTCAGAAGCCACAGGTCCTGGGCAAAGGCGCACATCAAAAATGAGAATCTGGGCCAGGGATTTAGCTCAGTGGTGCCTCCGCTTGCCTGGAAAGCTCAAGGTCCTGAGTTCGATCCCTGGTACCAAAAAAAAAAAAAAAGATTCTGTGTCTTCCCTCCAGGCCTGCACCATTCTCCAGGGCTGGGGCTTTGGAACCAGTGGCGGATTACATTTCCCAAAGCCAGACACATCAATGGATCCCTTCCCCAAAAGCTCTTCTTGACAGTGCTACGTCATGCTCCTCCTATCCGGACGTGGGTCTGGTCTCCTTCCCTTGAGCCTGGGGCAGACCGAAGACTGCCTCAGCCAACACAGAAAGTGACCCCGTGATTTCTGAAGCCTTGTCCAGCAAATTTCAGGTGCTTCTCTGCCTTGTTTTGGGGGGCACTCAATCCAGAAAGAGTCACTCTGCTGTGAGGCAGCCTCACGGAAAGACCAAGCCCCTTGCCAGCTGCCAGGTTCAGCCACCAGACAATGAAGAGCACAACACAGCAAGTGTCCCTGAGCCACCCTGCCCATGCTGTGTGGAGCGGTAACAAGTGACCCACCTGTGGCCCTCCCCACGTTGCAGGTTTATGAGCACAGCAAGCCGTAGCTCTTTGAAAGCACTAAGCTTTGGGGTGATGTGTTGCCCACTAAATAACTGGACCACAATCGGTAGTTTGAGATTACTACTACCAAGGTTCTACTGCATGCAGAAATACAGAACCACTGCCCGAGAGATGGTGTCCAGGTCAAGACCCGGACATTGTGGGAAAGGGTCAGAGCGAAGCTGTGCGGTGACTGCGGGTGGGCGTGGCTTTCCTGGCAGTTGGGGTGCGGGGGCTCTTGCCTGGGGACCTCAGCTCTCTTCCTCCAGGCTCCCCTGCATTTTCACTTCTCTTGTGTAGCTGTTCCAAGTATCTTTTGCCTATTTCTCCCCCGCACCCCCAAGGTACCAGAGATCAAACTCGGGACTTTGCACTTGCACGGCAGGCGTGGTGCCTGAGCTAAATCCCCAGCTTTATTTTTGTCAGGGTCTCACTGTGTAGTTCAGGTTGGTTTTGAACTCACTATGTAGCCCACGCTGGCTTTTAACTTTTGATGATCCTGATGCCTCAGCCACCCCAGTGCTGGGATTTTATGCCTGAATTTTGGGGGGTTTTTTTTTTGGTCCCACTTTTTCCCCCCCACTTTTTGATGACTTGTAAATTCACTGCAAATTCTGAAAGCAAAGTTCTTTACTGGGTGCCTACCCTTGTTTGTCTTTTCATTTTCTAAATGGTGTCTTTTGAAGTGCAAACACTTTGAATTTTAAAGAGGTCCCATCTATTAATTTTTTTCTTTTTGGACTGTGCATTAGATACTGTGTTGTATTTAAGAAATCTTCTCCTAATAGCAAGGGCCTTTAAATTTTTAATTAAATAAGTGCTCTTATTCCTTGACCCAGTAATAAACACTCTGGATGGAGGGCAACCTGGGTCTCTGTGTTTGTTTCATGGAGACTCGCTGGAAACCACCTCCCAGTGCTCCGTGAGAAGCGCAGCCACGGATGGGAGGGAGGGGGAAATGGCCCCAGGAGGCTGTAGAGAAGTATTATGGCTGTTTTCAAACCTTGGGTCATGTGGGAAGAAAGCTGTGCTTATGAGGTACGATTTATATACTGTAAAATTCGCCCTTTGTGTTCTGACAGATTGTATCCAGTCTGGGACCTAATGAACCGCCAATGAAGATGTGAAGTATTTCCCATCACCCCAGAAACTTCTTTCATGTCCCAATGCCTGGAAAGTTCGAGAAATAAATACACCCAAAATATACTATGATCCCTTCTTGGTGGTGGGATGGTGGATGTTTTGATTTTTTTAAATATTTTTCTGGACTTCAGTAGAAGTGGCTCCAACAATACCAAAGTGACCTGAGATCATAATTTCTTTGCTGGGGCCTCGACTCTTCTTCCCCCACACAGACACCCCATCCCCCATCTCGTACAAAGGAACCCAAGGAGACCGCTGGGTTTGCTCACTTTGAACCTCAAACAAAACCCTTGTGGATCCAAGGGGAATTATTTCAGAGGCTCCTGGTAACAGGGGCACAGACAGACAGGCCTGACAGCTCACAATTATAAACCTTCGCCTCCTCCAGCCTGGCCCCTGCAGGGAGCCCACGCCCCGCCACACCACGGCTCCCATCCCCCTCCAGATATTGAAAAGCCTTCTTTTCAATGGTGACTAGTCCAGAAAAGTTACCAAAGTTACCATTCAAAGGATTCCTTCAGCAACAGCAGCCACCAGCATGGTGATGGGGTAGGGGTGCATGTCCCATCCTTGCCTGGGCTACTGGTTCTCAGCACAGACATGAAATAAAGTCAGGTTCCTCAGCAGAGTCGGGACTCCTCAGAGTCCTAGTGAACAAAACCAGTGCTGTCCCTCCCTTCCTGGGCTGGGCTGGCAGTTTAGTACAAGGGGACAGACAGCACACAGAGGGAGATGAGTCTGCTGGAAGGACTTAGTGATGGAGGTCATTACGGAAGTGAAACTGCGGCACAATATTTGAAGGAGGTGATGCGTGGGAGGTGTTGTGGGTAGAGCAGGTGCAAAGGCCCTGAGGCAGCACCCAGTTAGAAGGGCAGTAGGAGGGTGGCAGAGAAGGGAATGGTCATGAGGGGACAGCAGATGCTGGTGTTCTCAGTCTTGGAGCCACAGTGGGGACTTTATCTTTCAATCCTGTGAGAGGAAAATAATTGTGTCCAGAGCAGAGGAGAAGGTCGGACGGAAGTGCTATCAGCATCCCTCTGGCTGTCAAGAATAGGCACAGGAGGTCAAGGGCAGTTCCTCGGGGGAGGACAGTAGGATCATATGGGTGAGGGATGCTGGGGACTTGATCCAGGGAGGTCACAGCAGAGCAGAGGCACTTTCAGGATATGTTTTAGCGGTGGAGGTGATGGGCAGTCTGACAACTGCGTGTGAGATGTATGTGTGTGGGTTAAAGGCTTTGTCCCAGCTTGGTGCTACTGGAAGACAGCAGAACCTGTAAGTGACAGGGTTTAAGTGGAGGTCTACATTATTATTAATAACAATAATAATAATTATTATTATTATTTATATTTTTGGTACCTGGGATCAAACTCAGGTCCTTGTGCTTGCAGGGCAGAGGAGGCGCCACTGAGCTACATCCTGGGCCCAAGGGTCTCTGGGTCACTGGGGTCATGCCCTTAGGTACGGTGGGACCCCAGCCCCTCCGCCTTCTTTCCTTTTCTTCCCACACAGGGAGTGAGTGGCTACTTGGCTCTACCCCAAGCTCCCTGCCATGCTGAGCTGTGACAGACCCAGGAGCGACGGAGCCAGCCATTCAGGGACTGAAACTTCCAAAACTGTGGGCAAAATAAACTTTTTCTCTTATTAAGTCCAAGATCTCAGGTATTTGTCCAGTGATGCAAAGTGGACTAACGCAAGGCTCAATGACAGCAGGGTTCTCCTAAGGACGGCTGAGGCACCACAGACAGACTCAGAAAGCAGGGGAGGGAAGGGCGGAAGTCCAACCTCTAGAATCTCAGGGTTACTCCCTGCACCAAGATACACATGCGCCACACTGCCAGTGCGATGAGCACAGTGCGGCCACTCTGGAAAACAGTTGGTCAAGAAGTTAACTATCGCTCTCACAGGACTGAGCCATCCCACCAAGAAGAATACATGCAAGAGAAACGAATTTGTGTGAACACACACACATCCATAGCAGCGCCATACCCAGTGGTCAAAGAGTGGAAACAACCCAGATGCCCCTTAACTGATGAATGGCTATAAACAGGGTGGTCTGTTCAGGTCATGGAGCATTTGTTAGCTCTGGGAAGGAATGAGGCACTTGTTCCTGCAACAACATACATAAACCCTGTAAACACAATGTTATCATGCTCTCCGCAAAGCCATCCACGACAGGTCCTTGTATGATTCCAGTTATGCCAAGTGCCCAGAACAGGTGAATCTGTAAGGAAAGCAAAGGAAAGGAAGTAGAGATTAGCACAGCTGAGGAGTGGGAGGCGAGGGGGGTGGGCTAACTGTACAAAGGTTGGCAGAGGCGAGGTGATGAAATGTCCCAAACCTAGATTCAAAAATAAGTCATGGCTATACAACTATAAATATATTAAAACATTGATCAGTGCACCTTAGATGGTTGAAATCTTTTTTTAATTATTAAACTTTATGGTATAGACATGATAAGCGGCTGGGATTTAGCTCAGTGGCACTGCACCTACCTTGCAAGCACGAGGTTCTGAGTTTGATCCTGGTACTGAAAAAAAAGTCTCCAGCCCCAGAAATAACTAGAGAATCTGCTCTCGAATCCATTCTCCCTGTGCACTTCTGTGCATACATCTTGGTGGAAATTATCAATATTATTTTATACAGTTCCCTTGCTACTGTCATATATGTACTAACATTGTACATAATATTCTTCAACTTGCTTTCTTCTCTGGCCCTTGCTTGGTGATTTGCCCTTGCTGACATCCTGATGGGCATCAGTTTCTCACAAGTATAAGCAATGAGGCAGTGAGCATCTTGTGCACGTGTCTTCCTTTCCCTGTTTTGGGGAGGGGAGGGAGACAATGGGGATGAACCCGGGGCCTTCTCATTGGCCTCATCCCTAGTTTTTGTTTTTAACTTTGAGGCATGGTGTCACTAAGCCACCCAGGCTGGGGTGCAAATGTGTCGAGGATAGAAGTCATGAAGTAGAATTGAGGTAAACCTTTTCTTCAAATTGCCTTTACTTTTGCAATTAAAAAACAAACCGAAAGAAAGTATGTACAAGTGGTTTGGGGCAAGGACATCCAACTCCTTCCCAGGAGAGGTGCACCTTGGGCAGTGTTCAAGAATGAGCTGGAGTTTGCCAAATGGACAGAGAGCTGATTCCGGGATAGTGTGGCAGAGAAAACAGATTTTTTTTTTTGTTTTGCTTTGCAAAACTGAAGCATAAAATTTAAGGAAAGAGAACTGTATTGCTTTTCAAATGAATGGCAGGATTTAACACTTAAAATCAGACAGAGCTGCTCACAAGGCTAGCGTGCGTGTATCTTACAAAGACGGTTGAGTGCCCCTCTTGGTGTAACAGGGCTGGATAACCGGTCCCAGCAGAAAACAAGTAGACGCCATCACCACACGTCTCTTGTGCAAAAGAAAGGGAAAATGGGTTAGCAGTTCCTTGAGAAGCAGGGATTTCTGCCTTCTAGAAATGTGTTCTAAGGCTTCAGAGAAAATGATGGCAAACAGCAACCTGCTAGACCGACCCTAGCCAAGGGATGGAACCAGGTCCCACTGCCAACCGCTGTGGTAGGAGTCCCATCTCTGCCTTCCAACACACACACACACACACACACACACACACATGCGCGCGCGCGCGCGCGCGAGCGGCACCGGGAGAGCAGCAGGTCCTTCTCAGATGGCGTCTCACCAGCGGGACGGCCTGATCTGGCCTCCTCGCCCCTCTATGCCTGTCTCCTCCTCCGCTCCAGTTACTACCACGTGGGGCTCTGCACTTCCACGGCGGTACAGAAGTGGCTTTGGGACACTGAGTTTAACCGGAGAGAAGGATTTCCCCACATCCACAGGCAGAGGGCGGTGAGAGCGAGCGCTCTGAGCCACCCTCCAGGGCTTTCTTCAGAC